CACAGAAAGGTTGCCAGCATTCGGTGCCCCTCCCCACAGGCAGCCATGTTGGAGTTTCTCATGTGCCCTTACCAAGACACGCAGGCATGTGGTTTGGGTTCCTTTTTCCCCCAGTCACAAGTGCAGGATGCTGCTCACATCTGTGTGTCCCTTCTTTTCACTCAGCACTCTGTCCTGGAGCTCATTCCCTATCAGTACATAAAGAGCTGTCCTCCTCAGTGACAGAGGATTCCAGAGCATGGGTGTGCCTCCTTTATGTTACAGATCCTGCCAAACCTACCCAATGAGCAATGCCTGGTTTGAGGGCAGAACACTTAGGACTCTGTCCCCCGGATTTGGGACCAGCAGCCCCGGCTCAGGGCTCACTAGATCAGAAGGAAGGAATCTCACCAGATTCCTAGTCCTCAGACTGCATTTACTTGAAAGGTTCTAAGATCTCCCGGAGCAATGCGTGTGTCATCACGTTCACAGGAAGTCTAAGAGAATTTCAAAGGCTTTTTCATAAAAACTTACTCTTTGCCTCATCTGTCTGGCTCTTCTCTGTATCCCCACTGAATAGCATAAACAAGAGCATTTCTCTTTTGATTGTGACCCTCTCTCCATTCTGCCTTCCAGCAATGGTTCAACATGTACAAGCCCATCACCTACAACACGAGCCTGCTCACTGAAGAAACCGACTCCTTTGTGAACAAGCTGGATCCCAGCAAAGTGTTCAGGAGCAAGAACAAGATGTTAATCCCAAAAAAGAAAGGGCCTGTTCCGTCTGCAGGCAGCCAAAAAGGGCCCTCGGGTCCTCCCTCCGCCCCCTCCACCCCGAAGTCCACCTCTGGCTCTGGAAACCCTGTGCGGAAATGAGTCCCTTCCCGCCAGCTCCCTGCAGCCCCACAGCGATGATTTCCAGGCACAGATGCCCAGGGGGCCCAAGCCTGAGGGCCTCCTCCCATCTGAGTGACCAAACCCCAGGCCTCTTACTCCCGTGAATTAGCCAGGAGTTGGGCATACTCAGGTCTCCCCCGGAGTCCTCTCATGACACCCCTACCTCCAGACACTGTGCAGAAATTTAGATCGTCTTTAAAGTAGCCAAATAGATCTGTTCAGAGGTTCCTCTCTTCCCAGAGCAGCCCTCTCAGCAGGAACTGAGGAGTGCTCCAAAGAAGCCGCTGGTTTAGAACCACGAGGCATTAGAACTGCAATGTTCTGTTGGTAGCCACTAGTCACATGTTGCTATTTAAATCTAAGTTATACTGCAAATCCACGTCCTTATAGCTACACTTGGAATATTCATGTGGCTAGTGGATTCCACTTGGACAGCGCAGAGATAATGGGACATTTCTATCACCACAGAAAATTCTATTGGATGGCACCCCATTAGAATCATCCCACTGTTCTTCCTCAGTTCAATTAATATTTGTTAGGGAATGTTGATATCTTAATTTGATGATTATAATGTTCTATGGAAACTCTTGAAAATATAATTGTATGTTCCTTATATCCTTCACCACAAATCTGCATATTTTTTAGTTTGTTTTTTTTTTTATAAAGTTTCTTGCTTCCAATTTTGTGTTGTAATGTTTGCGCTTTTGCCAAAATTACCTTTCTCTAAAGGAGAGGAGATTCTGCTGGACTCCAGCCCTTTAAAACCATCCCCGGAGAGGTGCTTTGCAGGACTCCATAACAGCTGAGTCACTTCTAGCTGACGTGAGCCCAGTGCAAGCACAGAAATGAGGTCTCTGGTTCACATTCAGGAAACAGTCCCATTAAAGGTACTAAAGTGTTTTTCCTTCCTTCCATGGCCTCTAGCAGCTTGTTATGGTGGTTTTTGCTAGTTAACGCTATTCTAAGTAAAATTAAAATTTTAAATTATTAGTGTTTTATCATTCATCTTTATTTTATCTAACTCCAGTTTTAGCTGCAAATATAAAACATTTACTCATGCAGAACAACCAGAATTACATAATTTGTGTTTCATACTTATGTATACATACTGTGTGCATATGCATTCTTACCAGAACTGTGAGAACACTGCATAAAACTAGCTCAAATGTTGTTTCACTTCTTGATATATACACATTCTATAAACACTTTCAACTTACTGATAAATAAGGAAGTTCTGAGAAAAAGAAACTCTGTTTTCCCATATGTTTTCCTTCTCTAAGTCATCATTTTTCACCATAAGTGGTTGACTGATACTACCATGAGTAAGAATATGTTAGGGTTCCGTGGTCATTCGTGTTGCTTAGAATACCATTACCCTCTTTTGCATTTGAATCAATTCTCAAATGGAAAGTAAGGTCTTTTGGGGTTCAGTGCCCCACATAATAGGCTTGTATGCATAACAGGCTTACCTTGTCCTCTGAATCTCTGAATGCTCCCATCCGGTGGGCCCACACGAATTCTCTGCTCACAGGCATCACAGAGCTGTAAGCAAATGACAGTAAGAATGGTGGACACATGTATTGCACACATCTCTGCTCAGGTGTGTTTCCTTGCCTCATCAGACTTCACTTAAAACACACAAATTCAAAGATAAAACTACAGAATAGTGACAGAAGAGCATTAAACCAAGTACTGAGGCCCTTCTGAGTGCAATGCCCACCCAGGAAGCTGGCCCTGGAGGAGGAGGAGGGGAGCATCCTGGAGAAAGGCTTCAGACAGAATGTACGTTGAGTGGGTTACATTGGAATAAACTCACCCGTGAGGGGATGTTTTGAAAGAAGAGTGATTAAAATGGCAATAGGCTCTACTGTGAGGCAGCCTTACCCCAAAATATGTCATCCTGGAATCAAAACAAGACCAAATGGCAGAATGCCTCGGGAGAGAAGAGTGCGGATTTGCCAGCACCCAGCATCTATCACAGAATTCTCCTCTGAGGACAAGAATTCCCAAGCTCAGAACTCAGGTAGGCAGTCTAAAGCAATGTGATACACACATTTCACACAACCTCCTAGATCTAAAATAAACAGCAACTAAGTACAGACAAAGGTGTGTTCTCTCAAACCTGGGCGAATAAGCACAGGTAGACATTGAAACTTAAAATGTTTTCCTTAGTCTCTAGCCACCATTGTGTTCAGCAGTCACAGTAGTGACTACCACACTGAACAGTGCACAGAACACGCAGCAATGCAAAAACTTCTCACAGAACACCCAGAAATGCCAAAAGCTCTATTTGGGCAGCTCTCTCAGACCGCATGTGGCTTTTCCCCACACATTTACAGTTCTTAGAACAGTTCTGCAATGCCTTTTTATAAGATACTAAACTCAACAAAGAACAGACATTTACCTAATTTAAGACACCCTTTTCCTAGGACACAGCATCCTTTCCTACTTCATGTATGTTCACAATATATAGGGAAACCCAAGGGTGCATCACTGCTCAGCTTGGAAAGGGGCCTTGGTCCTGGCTGCAGAGCGGCTGCGCCAGGGCCTGGGCTCTGCCGCACGTGTTAGCCATAGGCAACAAAGCAGCTCAGCCTGTAGGCCCCTCCGCAGTCCCCGGCGTGGAAAGCTGTAAGAAACGAAGGAGCAGGTTTTCTGCATCTCACAGGACCCTGTGGGCCCGGCTGAGAACACCCTCCGGAGCTCAGGAATGATCACCCAAGAAAAGACATTTCTCCATGAGCCTGCTATTAACCTTTTTCTCTTTTCACCGCATAAAGACTGGCAAAGAATACTTTGTAGACTAACCAAGACAGGAACACAAACAGCCCTCAGAAAGTTCAAATCCAACCAAGAGAGAGGCCTCATCCCCCAAGCAAAAGCTGCAAGGGACAAACTATTGACAAAATTAAGATGGAAAAGCAGCTTACCTTTACCAAGTCGCCTTGTACACGAGGCCATCCCTCGGGATAGAGGTGGAAATACAGATTGCTCTTGCTCTTGGGGTGCATTTAGGTGCCTGGTTCCCGAGGCACATCCCCCTCAGGTGGCTCTGGCCCACGACCCCTGGAACAGCTGGGATTCTAGAATGTAGGCTTACTGAGCAACTTAGTAAGAAAAACGATGAGGCCTTAACAACTTTACATCTTTACAACTCGTGTTTCAGGCCATTTAAAAACAGGTACTCGCCATCAATATTATAATGTCAATTCCCAAAGAAACCCAAATTCAGGCGTCTTTAACAGAGAAGTATTTGCTTTTCTTTACCTGCTGGCAAGAGCCTGCCGTGGCTCAGTGAGTGGGGGTGCAGAAAAGGGCGACAGTCACAGAGGCATGTGGGGTGACTCTATGGTCTTTGGCTCTTCGGACAACACAAATGCGGTTGTCTGCCAATCACATCTGCCCAGGCTCAGGAAGACAGAGTCACAGAGGTTGAAATGAAGGCAAAGGTAGCATGAGTGACCCGGCTATCTTCCAGCCCCCCAATGACCTGCTGCTGTGGTTTACCTTTCCCTGCTTCTGAGGCAGAGACTCTTCACAGGAGCCACGTGACCTTGGACGGAGGGACTTCTGGGAAGGGCTCAGCGACCACCTGGGCAGCAGCCCCTTCAGCGTGGCTCTGCCACTGCCAGGAGCTCCTCACGGCGCATCCCACTCCGGACACCTTGGCTTCTGATGACCGGTCCTTGAGTGCCCAGGCCTCCATTTGTCATTCTCTGCACTCAGAGCTTAAAATGTTCATTTTCTTTTGGTGACAGTAAACTTTTTGAGAAAATGAATTTTTACATGAACGGGGCAAGTGAGTGAGTTACAGAATAGTTCAGATTTTTAAAATGCTACTCTACATTTTTGCTTCCACATCGCTATGGAGCAAAGCAAAGCATACAGGTAAGGAGGCTATTGCTAGCTTGATGACTAATTAATGAGGAGTTACAGAGAGCGCATTGTCAGGCTCCTCATTCTAGTAACCAACTGGAACCCCCCGGCCCCCCACCCCCCAGGCCTGAGACAGTTCTGAGCCAGGGTCCTGGTGAACCTGGGGAGAGGTTTCGCTGACTCAGAAGGAGACAAAACTGTGAGCTATTTAAGGTCCTACAGCCAAGAGAATAAAAGTTTCCCATTACGACATTAAACTCTATTTATTTAGTATCTGAAACATGGTGTACATTTATGAATCCATATAAACATTTAGTACATCTAAAATCCACAACTGGCCAACAACCTGTGCTTTCCTTTGTGTACAGTTTGGGTTTTACATCGGGATACTTTGGTGGTGTGGAGAGACCCAGTCCGTGAATCTATTCCCTTAGTCACTGACAGAGTGATCTGCTCTGTAAAAGGTCCGTTCCTCACACAGAAAAGGTGTCACCCTTTGGAACTACTAAACCGGGTGCCAAGGAAACAAGAGAAAGTACAGGAAGGAGACTCCATGCAACACAGCCCGTGGCGCCACAGAGAAATGGGCCCTTTCTCTCAGACCTTTCGATGCTGATGCTGACACAGAGCCTCCTCGCCCCGCACTGCAGGGGCTTCGTCCAGCAGGAGCATGCGCTCTGCGCAGGCACACTTCTTAGGGCGTCCCCAGGTCACAGCTGCAGCTCCGAGGTGCCCACCAGGCCCAGGGCGCGGGCTTCTTCTGGGGTCAGGCCGCTCTTCAGGGTCCTCCGCACTGCAGTGCATGAGCGGGTCAAAGGAGTGAGAAGAGAAGGAGGGATTAGCAGCCAGGCACAGGGAGGTGGCCCAGCAGCCTCCTTCCCCAAGGCCTCCAGGCCAGGGGGTCACAGGGTTCCCGGAGGCTCGGCCCCCATCTGGCTCCTGTTGGAGAGCCCTGACTGGCTGGTTGGGGCTGCAAGAGGCTGACCTGAAGATGGCACAGAATCCAACCTGCACGCTCCAGTGGAGGAGGGGCCTTATAAGGGAAGAAGGGAGAAGAGGCCCATCCTTACAAGGTTTCTGAGAAATAGGTGCAAACTGCGAATGGGCAGGTGGCATGTGAGAGCTCAGCCTCTGACCGGCATAAGGAATGGATCAGAGCTGGAAACAGTCATCACGGAGCAAAGGAAAATGCAAGTGCCAATGATGCCCATCAGGTAAGATCGCCCCACAAACCCATGACCTTGGACAGCAAGGTGTCAACAGACCCCAGGGCAATGGGCAGCAGTCAGGGGTGAGTCTCTGTGTGTTCACTCATCAAAGGGTCTCTAGAACGAATAACCAGGAATCCCCTGCAGACTGGCTGCCACGAAGCAAAATGCCAGGTTTCTCTGGGTGGATCTGTGGATGTCCTCTGTGAAACACACAGGGTCAGGAAGGACCAAACGACCCCTTCACTGGGCGTACACCTGGCCATCGAAGAACGCTCGAATTTCATGGACTTGGAATTGGCCTCTGTGTAGCCCGGCATCATGGGTTGTACCATGGCTCAGTGTTGATCAGTTCTGATGTCAAAACAAAGGCTGGATAAGGGTGAGTGAGTAGACAGCTGCCTTTCAAAGCCAGGCCTTTCCTTTGAAACTTTGCCTGATTACACTTCCCTTCATTTATAAGTTGTGTTTGGTCTATTCTCTATGTAAGCTCATATAGAGTTTAAGGGATATGTCCTATGTTCAGAAGAGGCATATTAGAGATCCGCCTTCCATCCCAAATCCTAAATATGCCAGAGTCCCCGAAATGAGTAGGGCAGGCCCTTGATCAGTAAAGCTCACCCTTATTCCTTTCCATGTTCCCTTGCCAGACCCAGTTCCCTGAATCTGCTCTGTGACCGTGAGCCTGTCTCCTCTGAGGCCTCCCCACAGGCAGGGCCCCACCTCCTGTGTCTGCAGGCAATACCCCACATTCCATGTCTCCCCATGCTCCCGTGTAGACAAAGTATCTGAAAGATCCATGCCCGTTGGAACGAACAGGGGTAATATCTATGAGTAATGGTGTCTTCTCTCCCAGGGATCAGCACTTTGAACAGGGACCAACATCTAATCTATCCATTAGTCCATCAACAAATGTTTTATGGAGAACCTACTGTGTGTTTGCCCTTCACTCAGCGAATCAGCACATTTTTGGAAGGCTCTCAGACATCAAGTGTAGGTTTTTATGGAGATTCAAAGACTTATACTGTGCCACCAACACACCATACCGTATCCCAAGCTCTGGGCCTCACGCTGCCCTTCTGCAGCTGCTCCTGCACAGCCTCACCCCTCCCCAACGCAGCCCCTGGGGCTCCAGACTGAGCGTCTAGCTCATCCAGACGAAACATTTGGCTCCAGAGCCTGGGCTGGAGGCAGACTGCATTTAGTTGAGTAATGGAATTTGTTCCATGGGGCAGCCATAAAAATACTAGTTTGTAATAACCTTTTATGTCCTTTAAACACTCCTTCAAGTGTTTGTCAAAGAAAGATAATTTTAACGGCAGAAAAGAGGATTAAATCTTTCTCATTCTCGATAAGGACTACCAGGACCTCCTCTTATCCAAGATACGGAATGCCGCCCGGAGAAGTCCATGCAGCATCTTACGTTTCATTAGCTGCGGAGGCGGCATGGACACGGGCCCACGGACCAGTTCTCGGTGCCTTTGGGTAAGCATGCTTGGCCGAAAGACGGCGGAGGCTCTGTGAACGGGTGGGCATTTCACCCACGGTGGCGTTTCGGATGCCGCCTTCACACTCCCGGCCACACCCTGGCTCCCGTCCTGTGACTGCGGTGTTTGGTTCAGGGAAATACTTGAATAAGACCCCTGGCAAACGTAGAGCGTGTGCACTGATGTCATAGAGATGGGCACGGGCCAGCTTGGCTCGGAGAACAGAACAAAGCCTACCCAGCGCTCAGCCGGCCCTCCCGCTCGACCAGAGGCTGTGCCTCCAGCCTCACCATCTCCTCCAAGTGCTGATGTGCAAGGCCCCTGGGACCCTCCTCCACCCCCACCCCCCCCTCCGCGTGGCGTGTGTGTTCTCTGCTGCGGGGGAAGCCTACAGCTCTAAGGCCCCTCTGCTGGCCAGATGTGTTCCTGAAAAGTGAACCTCCCTAGAAAAGTCTGTGTCGTCTGTAGAATCCTACCTTCTGTAGGCCTTCGTGACAATTCGGATAAATCCTCTCACAGTGAATATAATACATACATAATAACCCAATAAATGTGACTATATTAGCCCCCCAAAAGACTTAAAGGACCGGAATCCTTCCTTCCTTTGTTAGAGTCAAAGTTAATTCATGTTCCGCTTGAAGGTGTGAAACGAAGGAAATCAGTTAAAATCAGGTTTGTATCCCAATTCAAATCGCATATAGAAAGGGTTCGCTTATCTGTCTGTCTGCTCACCAGTTCACTCATTCATTCAGCAAACGTGACTTGAGCCAAGTGCTGCGGGCAGAAAGGCAGGGGGCAGCGAGGCAGGGCTGACAGGGATCCGCAGACCTGACCAGATAGGGATTTGGCTCTCACTCTGAAAGCAAAGAAGGGGGGGCGGGGCGGCAGGGGGCAGGGGCCTGAGAGAATGAGGGGCCAGCGGACGGGGCTGGCTGGCGGGATGTGGGACTTGTACAAGTCTCCCATCACATAGGGGATTTCTTAAGTGCTCGCTGAGGTCTGATAAGGTAATGCTGGGGCTCCCTCCACTCCCTGTTCCTGCTTCCCTCGGAAGGCTCTGGCTGGAGCTGCCCAGCCTGTCACAGGCGGCCGCCTCCCTTCCTCAGCTGCTTAACAGAGAACAGACCTCGGAAATGTTTATCCCCGTCTGCCTCGCAGCTCTTCCATACAGGGCGCCGGTCACTTCGCTGGCCCTGCAGCCGCTCTGCCCGGGCTCTGTGACAGCTCTCCCGCAGCCCTGACCGCAGTGGGATCCTGGGCTGGGACACGGGGCGCCTCCGCCTCCACAGGCAGCACAGGGGCATCTGGGGCTCACAAAACCCACATTCCTTTTCTCATCTCCCACCCTCCTAGGAGTGAAAACAAATGTTAATCCTGCCAAGTGCTCTCGGGTGACTGCCGAGATGAGTTGAATCCGAGAATGATGGCAATGGTGGCCACAATCTGCTCCATGAGCCAGAACATGGACTCTTCCATTTGATCTTTGTGGAAAGCCTCTGGGATGAGTACTGTTATCTCCCCAGTGAGTGAACAAACGGCAGTGATGAGGCCCTGCCCCAGGTGCACACAGTAAGTGGGAGGGAAGGATTTGAGCCAGGACTTGGACTGGGCTCCATCCTGTTCCGGCCCCTCTGCTCCCGCAGCCCAAGGGGCACTTGTTCCAACACCTACAAGCCCTCGAGTCGCCCTCTAAAATATAATGACTCTCGGCCATAGGTGGGTAGCTCTGTTGGTTAGAACATTGTCCTGATATGCCAAGATAGCAGGTTCGAGCTCCGGTCAGGGCCTATACAAGGAGCAACCAATGAATGCATAAAAAGTGAAACAACAAGACTCTCTCTCTCTCTCTCTCTCTCTCTCTCTCTCTTTCTCTTTCTCTCTCTCTCTCTCAATTCAATAAATTAAAAAAAATCAATCAATAAAACAAAATGTGCCGAAACCGGTTTGGCTCAGTGGATAGAGCGTCGGCTTGTAGACTGAAAGGTCCCAAGTTTGATTCCGGTCAAGGGCACGTACCTTGGTTGTGGGCACTTCCCCAGGAGGGGGTGTGCAAGAGGCAGCTGATCGATGCTTCTCTCTCATCAATGTTTCTAGCTTTCTATCCCTCTCTCTTCCTCTCTGTAAAAAATCAATAAAATATATTTAAAAATAAAAATAAATAAAACAAAAGGTAACAACTCCCAATCCAACACTTGGTTTTCTTGTGGGCTTGTTCTATTTATCTTCCTGTCCTGTGTCCTGTCCACCTGGGTAGGCACCCTCAGCTGTCTTAATGAAGGGGTCAGAGCAGCTTTAATGAGTCTGAATGATCAGGTGCTCACTAAACAGCAATGACGCTATTGTTAAGAAGATAAAAAGTTGGACTGAGGAAGCTTTATTTCCTTTCAACATCTTAGTTTACTACATCCCAAGAGCATTAGTGTTAAAGCCTCTGGCTTATGGCCACTGTTATCTCGCACTATAAATATAAATTTTGTGTAAATATAAAATTGGATGATGGTAAGGAAGGACTATTTAAATTAAATGCAGAGAAAATTTTTAAAATGGGATTCGTGGGGGAAATTCCTCGGTATTTTCAAACACCACTTTGGAAAAGTAGAGACAACTGAACTACGTTGTGCACGGAATCCAATCTTGTGAGGTATAAATCATGTTTCCCCAAAACAGATCCAATAATTTTTCAGATTCCATCATTCTCTCTCTCCATGAATGCCTGCTTAATAGACAGCATGGCTACACCCCTCACTATTCTGTAAGAGAAATAAAATAAGATTTTAGTTATGTCAAATGTGCAACATGGCCTTGGAGAGGAATGCCACAGCGTCATGAGAGACACTGAGGGGGAAGGGTGGTGTGAGGGACCAGTCAGGGCGAGAGAGCAAGTCCGAGTTCTGTGGTCCTTTCCCAACGGGCACTGGAATCAAACTTTTGGCTCTGCCCATGGAAAACTGGGTTTGTTTGTTTTTGTAAAGGTGTCCACCATTATTATCCCAACAAACTAAGAAACTGGTCGATTACATGCAGGTCACATCAAAGTGATCACATCTATAGAGAAATACAGCTCTGAGCCCCACACTCCATGGTCACATTGCAACAGGGCCCAGGCACCCCCCTTGGAGGAAAACTCAGCAGAGAAGGGGCACCTGCCTCTCTCAACCATGACACGACCCTGGGGACAAGAGATAAGGCAGACTGTGAGTCCCCAATCCCCGCTCTGTTCTGTGGTCGTCTGGGCTAGTGGTCCCATGCAGGCAGCCACCTGGGTGGAGACCCTCAAGGCGGGTCCAAGAGAAAAGCATGCTGGGGAGGAGCCCCCTCTCCACCGCAGTCACTGGGGTCCATCCTGCAGAATCATACCCGTAAGGATACCTCAAGTGTTGGTCAGCTTCCGGGACCTCTAGGGCAGGTCAACATTCAGGAGGCCTAAGAGAACAAGTAGCTCTGGGACAAAACACCTGTCCCAATATTATGAAAAGAAAAACCAAAGTAGAAAAAAAAACAAAGAAACAAAACAACCATAAAGCTCAGAGAACATTCTCCCTCTGCCCGATGCACCGGCTGATTGGAGGGCCTCTGGACCATCCATTCCACAGGCCAGACCCCAACCACATAATTAGGAACATTTTGCTTCATGAGGCCGTGAGGGCATCAGCTGGGAAAGCAACAGAACCAAGTCATGGGAGCCTGCGAAGTGGTGAAGATGCCCTTAGTGTGTCTCCACTGGCTGCCCGTTCCAGGCATTCACAGGGCATTTGGCGTGTGTAGGCCCGGCCACCAGCGCCAACAGGAAAGTGGATATGGGATTTTCTCAGAGGATTCTTAAAAAGGCTCACAGGTCATAAATTTGTAGGTTATGGGGTGGATTCTGTTTAGTTTCCTGCTATAGCTGGACTATTACTGTCTTTGGCCAAATGGGCCAAGGCGCAAATATGTTGGGTATTCATTATCCACTTGCTCACTGCCACCATTAAGCAATCAAATAAAAGACAGGGTGGAGCCCAAAAGGCGAAACTTTGTGTTGATTTTGCAAATTATTGTCTTCTGATTCCTTTAACCTCTTGTGAAAAGCTGGAGTTTATCACCCCTTTAAATGGAAATCAAAGTAACTTCCCTTGTCTTAAATGTCTGCGGCTTGTGCCATTACTAATAAGTTAAACCTGTTGCAGATAAACATTTACATACATGCAGTGCTGGAGTCACTGAAGTAACTGCATCACAGGATGAAATGTGTTTGGCTAAATAAAAAGAATATACGACTGTTTCACATAAGATTGGAATGGAAACGATACCAAAGGATCGTGTATTATATCAACAACAAAAATAGGAAAAATATCTCTCTGGCCAGATTGAAGTGGGAAATTAATTATGACAGTGTGACTATTCCCAATGACATCGTGTGTCTCTGTAAGAATCTGGTTCTCTCTAGACCAGAGGGCAGGGCTGGCACTCTGCCCACACAGAGGTGGATTCCTTGAGACTTCGGGGACTGGCAAGGCCACTGTGTCATGTAGTCTCTGTCTCTGAGGTTCCTGGCTCACCCCTGCCCACCTCTGTGAGGGCACACCCTGGCTTGGCATCCTTTCTCCACTCCCCGCCATGGTCCCTGACACCCTCAACACACACACATGCTTTTCCCAGTTCCTCCAGGGTGACTGTTGCACTAAGGTGCCCCACGGTGGCCAGACCAGGAGAGACCGGGTACCACGTTTCTACCATTTGACTACCTGTTTACTGAAGTAGGTAACAGGAGGGCAATAAAGGCAAATACTGAACACAATCTACGGAAGACCTCCGAAAGCCTTTCATGAGTTCCATTTTAAAAAGCTCTTTAACAAATAGGTTTCTTACCATGAAAAAGAGCAAGAGAAAAACAGGCAAACAATATGGACAAGCCATCCACCAAAGAAGAGATGCAAACGGCACAAGAGGCAACTCAACTTCCTAGTGTGCAGGGGAAAGCCAGTTAAAGCCACACAAGGATACTCTTTCATCCCCTTCAGGCAGAGAAAAAGGGAGCTGCTGCCTTGGTCTGGAGCAGCTGGAATCCCCAGGCAGGTGGGGGGAGATCGATGAGCCCACGTCTTTGGAGAAGAGTTTGTCAGAGAAGATGCACATGCAACTGAGGCCCCTGTAACTCCGCTCCAGGCCTCAGACCTGAGCACTCTAGCTCACTGTGCCCGAGTCCACTGGAGACCTTGTTCACACAGCTGAGTCAGTCGTCTGGTTTAGTGTTCTTTACCCTGGAAACAAGCGTGCCAATGGGTCACGCACAACCATGGGGTCCAACCTATGCAGCCCAAACCCCATCACCTCTTGTGTGAATGTCAAGGGTAGCACCACGAGGTTCCCCGAGTTGGAGTTCTAACTGAACTCCCTGTCTACTTGGAGTCACTCTGCTGTCACGTTTGGGAGTCTAGACATGGGGAGGCAACCGGCCTTCCTTCTGGTGAAAAGTCATAAATCCCTTTCCTAGTCACCACCCCTTACTCCAGGAAGCAGAGCTGGTAAAGCTGCCACTTGTGTGACCAGCAAGGGCCAAAGCTTGGGAGCTGAGCTCTCAACACACACCAGCGCCACAGCCAACACAAGTGACATCACAGAGCTGAGAGGAACCCTGCTTCCTGATGGTCTCTATGAGAGTTGGCACAGTGCCCACACAGGCAACCACACCCACCACTTGGGCAGGGGCAGGAATTGGGCTCCAACTAAAGAGAAAGCCAGTTGCTCTGATGTAGTTGAATCCTCTATTTGGTCGGAAAAGAAAAAAAATAACTGGTCAACCTAGGCTGACATTACGTGTTTTAAGCATCCTACTGACCATAAAAATCACTGGTTTTTACCTTGGTCATGTTCACCGGCAGCAGCGAACCCCTGGGGAAACCACCTCCAGCCCAGAAAGTGGCCCCCAATGCAGGGAGAGAGGCAGAAATATAGCCTCTGACAAAGCATCCCGGCCAGGGCTTGGCAATGGGCTGCCCTGAGCCCACCGCCGCCTGCCAGAGCCATGTCAGGGCCTCTTAATCTTCCAGGGACAGAGTACGAGTTGAGGGAGGCCTGGCCAGAAATGACAACTATCCCGGGACAGGGGTGACTGCAGCGCCCTCAACAGGCCAACGCTGACTGCCACGTAGGAAACCTTTTGCTGACGAACAGGTGGGCCTCCTGGCACCAGTGACAATTCCCTGGGGCCCACCTCCGAGTCTGCCCTTCCCAGTCATACAGGACTATAGGGCACGTACCTGTGGGCGAGTCCCTCACCCCAACTCAAAGGCACTTACGAGATTTCCGGTTGGCCCGGGAGCGCTTCCTCTCCCGAGGCACCACTCGCTGACTGGGCACCTGGGTGGCAGACTTGACGATTCGGTCCATGATCTCATCGGCGGCATCATCTGTGACGTTGGGTGAGTCATCGTTTCCCATGGTCCATGAGCCAGCGGATCCTGAAGGATTAAAACAGGGAATGCAATGAAGTCAGAGAGGAGGATACCAAAGAAAACCAACGCACAGCGCTGCCCCCGCAGCTGAGCTGCCCGCCGCGGGCCGGACTGGGAAGCCCACCCTCAGCAGAGCCGAGTGCTCGCAGGTCCCCACTGTGGGAAACAGGTGGGCACCCCTCCAGCCACCATCCTCCAGGCTCTGTCCTCCCTAAAACCCACACTTGGGGCACTTAAGTCACAATACCTTGCACCACAGCTGTGCTCTTGTCTTTCTCTGCCCTTTAATTTCCTGTGGCTGGATGCGTCCCTCCACCTACCAGGTCACAGGAGGGCAGACCCCCTCCCCGCCCCAGACCCCATGCCGCACGGCGATGTGAACATCACAGGTTTCCAGTGATGTATGTGCAGTAGCATCCATTTGTGAAGTCAGTTCTCTAACCCCAACTTCTCATTCAGTGGGATAGAAATCAATGGATTTTTGAAACATAGTTTGTCTTTGAAATATCATAATAAGATTGTCCTCTACAACCAGTAAAGGTGGAATTGACGTAGTAAATCCTCTTTGGTACACTTCTCTGCTTGCTGACAAAAAAATACATTTATTAATAACTCCAGGTCTGGCATGGAAACATCTGCCTATTCACAAGCAAGAAGAAAGCCCCACAAAAACATAATTCCCAAGTCACGTTAAAGAGGTATTAATCAACTAGAGGCTCTGTGCATGAATTCGGGCATGGGTGGGGGTCCTGCTGGCCTGCCCCAATCAGGGCCAGTTGGGCCAGGCTGGCTCAGGGGAAGGGCCATGGGCAGTTGGCAGGCAGGCCCCACCCCCTGGTTGAACTTCCTGTTAAAGGCCTGGTGGCACTCCCGGTTGAGGGACATTTTGCATGTTAGCCTTTTATTATATAGGATGCTATTTTAATAATCCAGGATGAACTTACTGTGAAATCTCTCTATAAAATGGGAACTATGCTTCTGTAAGAAGACAGATACACATATAAGAATCTGTTCAAAATTGTGAATTTCCTCTCCCTACACTTCTTTTTGTTAACAAACACACAACTTCAAAAGCCTGCGGTCTCCGTCGCACCCACACAGCTCTGCCACTGCGTGAAAAAGCACCACCAACAATGCACAACCCACCAAGTGTGGCTGTGTTCAGTAAGACCTTACCTACAAAACAGAGGCAGAAATATAGCCTCTGGCAAAGCATCCCCCTCAGCAGCCCTTTGCAGCCACAACCCGGGTACAGACCTCCACGGGGCGGTTTCCTGGGAAGATGTACCCGGCCCAGCCCGGAGGTACCTCGACTCATCCGGCTGCGTGTGCGGATGCCCAGCGCCGGGGTGGCATCGTCCAGGGTCGGGGACGAGGTGTTCAGCACAGCCTTCATGTTCTCGTGCTCCGCGGCGTCCTCTGCGTAGCTCAGGCCCTGCGGTTGGCTCGCGGGTGCCGGAGAACTGCTGGAAAACTTGCCGGACTGCAAGACCAAAGGGGGGTGATGGCGTGAGCTGACATCCCCAAAGTCAACTCAAGCCCTTAACATGCTTAGTTGAGGGAAACCTTCTCTTCTGTCCCCCCCTCTCCTTTGGTTTGTGTGGATCCTGCAGACGCAGTCCTTACAGCAGTCACTGAGGTTGTGGATGAATAATGACAACACATCTGCGAACACGGAAGTTCTTTTATGGGAAAGAAAAGCTCTGGTCCAGAAGGACCGCGCCCATCCTTCCACTGTCGCAGGCATCTCGGCTCTCTCTGCAAGATCCCTCAGTGGGTGCCTCCCGGGGGCGACGGAAATCAGCTCTGGGAAGAACTCAGAAACCAAATCCGTTTACGAGGATCAATATATTTAATGTGCTAATTAAATATATTGAGCTTTAAGTTTTTTGTGTTTTTTTTTTAATTTAGTGTCAGAAAGCAGTTAAACATTTCTTACATATCATTTATGACAGTCGGACTTGAAAAGAGGGATTCAGCCACAGAATGAGACAAGATTAGGAGTTGGGAAGAAACTTTCCAGATCTAGTCCCACCTCACTTTGCTGAGAAGGGAACCGAGGCCCTCCAAGATTAAGTGACCCCGATGGGGTTGGTTTCAGTCGTGTTCAATCAGAGCACGACTCAGAAATTCATGAGGAGTCTGAGTTTGGTAAAACTTACTACTTCAAAAATATAGTTGTTTAAACAAGTAGTATGTGCACAAAATATTCTCTAATTCTAGCTGGACAGCCAGGACCCAGATGTTTTACAAGAGGTATGCCAGCACAGCGGGCCCCAGCACACCGTGCCCAGCATCTGGGTGAGACATAAACAGTCTGTTAGGTTGGCAGAGAGGAGCCCCATAGATCTGGGCTTCCTCTTTCCATCCAGTGGTCTCTGCCAGGGCAGCAGAGAGCCCAGGACACATCTGTGGCTGGCACATCTGTTCTGCCCCTCCCTCACCTTCCAGCTCTGACTTGGACTCTGGATTTGACATCTGGACCAAGACGAGGAGCCCTTGCCCTCCCACCCCTCACACACTGATCCCACCAGACCCAGTGGATGCCAATGGATGAAATGGGCACAAGTCAGAGCTCCCCAAAGCTGCTGAGCCGCTGGTCTGGCCTGGCTCTTAGCCACTGCCCCATTTCCTCCCTGTTAGGGCTCTTCATGTGGCTGTTCTAGAACCAAGTTATCATACTTGTATTGCCAAAAGGCTCAGACAGGGCCGGAGGGAAAGTTCCCTGACCCCTCTCCTTGCAGTAGAGAGAGCTGTGCTGGCGCTGCCACTCTTGACAGGGCCTGGAGATCAGGGACAGCTCGGAAAAGCAGTCAATCCGCCAGTCCCTGGCACACACGGCGGGACCAGGACCCATGTTAGAAGGTTAGTGATCACACAGAAACCAACCCGAAAACGTGCATGCGTGGTTTAAAGCACAGAACCGTGCTGACACTTCAGGCTGCTTAGGTTAGACTCTCCAGCGCCCCTGGAGGTCAAACGTGGCATTCTACACGATTAGACAGAGTCCTACCTCCATGTCATCCTCTTCATCAGTCTACCCCAGAGGACAGGACAGGATGGAAAAGACAGAAGGGATTCTTAGAAGGCACGGAAGTCAGCAAAGATGAGATCATCTCCATGTCACATCACATTCCAAAGGAAGAAATTGGCCCCATGAGCAGGGCACACCCTCTTGATTTGGGAGTGGCCAGGCCCTGCCTCCATAGCCCACCTGCCCTCCTCTGGAAACTCCTCAAGCGCTATCCTGACTACAGTCAGAAGGGATGTTGGGGTTCGGGCCAATCTCCCAAGGCTTCCCATGAGGTTGACAGCCAGCTTACCTGGCTTCTGGCCACTGTATACCTCACTCTGTGTCCTGCTCCTCATGTGGCCACATTCTGTGGATCCCACTCCCTCAGCCCCCATCAGGGCCTCAGCAAGGGGACTGGCCTCCCTCTGCCCGGCCCCACCTGTTAGCAGCCGCTCCCCTCGCATCCCCAGTGCTGGGCCTCCCTGCCCAGGCTGCCGGTCTGCGCCTCTGAGAACCTTCCACACACAGGACAGACAACACAGGACCAGAGGAGCCGCTGCCCATGCAGAATGGGTCATATTACTGCTCCCTCAGAACCATGAGATTAGGTTCCCTTCAAAATCTCATCTCCCTGTGCCTCCTCGAGGCTGTCAAACTGACTCCCATACTTTCAATTCTCATCAGCTCTCACCAGATAAACTCCCTGAAGCCACTTCAAATAAAACTCCTTTTCTAAAAATAAATTGAAGGTGAGAGTCATATCAATCTCTTAATTTTAAACCAGCATGCTCTCAATTTAACGTGTGCTTGTTTCCGGTGAGGATGGAAGGCGAGGCCAGCTAATGCGACACAAGGATGTTGAGAACTGACTACACTTCCGGGAGCTGAAATGACACAGTGCTCCCGGTACATCACCTTCCCAGCCAAGTGGCCTCGTGACAAGAGGTGGCAGTTCTGCTGTGCCGTCTTTTAAAAAAATCTTAGAACTTTTTATTTAACAAGGATTTGGGGTTTCAGCAATGAGTACATGTGTGAGGTGCCAATATACAAGATCTCTAACCCTCCCAATATCTCCAAAGTAACTAGCATTCCCTTTTCACAAAGAGGAAGCTGGAGAGAAGGCCAGGGCCTCACCAGAGTTACCCCTGCCTCCATGCGGGAGTCCTGGGGTCCTGGGCAGCCTGCATTCTCACCGCCCAGCTGGAGTGGAAGGACAGCAGACAGGGCCGCAGTGGCCTAGGCCACCATTTTGCCTAGAACCATGTGGCGACACAAGGATGAGGAATGACTTAGTGTCTCCCTGACCCTCCCTGGAGGACTCCTGGGCTTTAAGAAAGGAAGCCTTCTGCATGTTCAGAAACAGCGGAAGAAGAGGAGAGACCAGCACATACAGCAGATACGGGGCTGATTTTATCACCACACAGGGTCTTTAGATTTAACCCAGTAAGCTCTGTGCCTAAAAAAAATAATGGTTTTTCTAAAACTGTCCCTCTTTAAGGGCTGTCGCTTCCATCCTCATTGCTCAGCATCTGCAATAAAAGTGACTGGCAACACAGTTTTCTCCAAGCATCGCTTCCAGCTCTAATGCTCGGGCTCTGCTTCTCCATCTGTTGCTTGGATTGTTTTTAGTGATGTAAGCGGTGGAGATATTTTTATTGACCAGATTATGATATCCCGAGGGTATAAGCTTATCTTTTACAGCAGCCACATCTTCCTCGTTGCCCCATGCTGTTCTGGGCACTCAGAGGGTGCTTGCTTACTTGAGATGTTGGGAAAACGGGAAGCTGTATACATTGCCATAACTGACAATACTCTGTTTTACCAGCAGATGGCAACCTTCCTACACAGATGATGCCATTTTGCCCACTAAAAACAGGGACTGTGTCCAGGATAAACCCTGAAGAAGCCAGTAGTGTCCAGATATTAATGGGAATTGAAATATTTTTGAATAAAACCCTAGAAAATTGTATCCCTGCTTATAAATAGGAAAGCTGAGTGTTTACAGAGAAGGACAGAATTTAAAAATTAGTGGGATCTGTAAAAAAAAAAAAAAAAAAAAAAAACCTCAAGAATTTAGCAAGAAATTTTGACGTGTTTTCCTAACTATGAGCATATTGGACTTGTCTTTTTCACCCTCTACTGTGTCCCATTTCCACAAAAATTAAGCTCTCCCCTTTTACAACTTTTAAAAATAATACTTTGGAATGAAATGTGGGACACAGTTCGCCCAAGTGGAGTCCGTTTGCTTCCCGAGCTGCTGTCCTCCAGGAGACTCGGTGGAACCCAGACCTCAGCAAAGATGGGAGACTCGGCTGGTGGCACCGGTGTCCAGGGGACTGCGGAAAGGGCACCGTGTGCAGAAAGGGGATCTGAGCACTCTCTAGCTAAGGGTCCAGAAAACTCCAAGGAAACAGGGGTCTGGGTGAGGGTAGGTGGTGAGGGGATTAGTCCCCAGTTCTCCTCTGCCTTCTTTTAAAATTACTAAGATAATGTGTCCAGGTCTCCATGGAAAGGTCGGGCCCCCTCAGGAATTCGGACAGTAATTGTGTGCTCCCTGTTTCTCCTACAATGTGAACATCTGGGCACAGAAGGCAGCCCCGATAAAGTATTCTTAATTGATGTTATTCCTCCCCAAAGAAATCCACCTGACTCGAGTTCAGCTGAGGCGTGCAAAGGATGATGGCTTAGTCGCTAACCCATTCCATTCCCTGATCACTGAAAGCCAAGGTGCTTTTCACCTGTAGAGACAGATGGAATGAATTTCGCAAAGGCATATCAGAAAGATGCACTGTCTGTCTCTGGCAGCCTCATGCGTCCCTTCCTCTTCCCTTTCCAAGCATCTCCCTTCTGAATACCCACAGCGCCCATGGCCCAGCGGGCTCAGGAATGAGGTGGGGGAGATGGGGGAAGAGCCCAGGAATGGGAGAGACATGTGAGTGTGCAGAGATCCCCAAAGGGGATCCCTTCCCATCCTGGTCATCTCTGACTGAAGGATCTGCCAAGAGCCCATCTAATTGCAGCTTTGAACAACCACATCAATTATTTCTCTATTAAGATGCCTCCAATGGTGGTCCACGGGTCAGCTGATAGGTTATAAAGCATCATGATGAGGATTAAAATCCTGAATCAATTCCCAAGTCAGTGCATTTGTCTTCCTGCAAGTGGCATTACCTTCCATCACAGAGTTTGAAAATGGAAACAAGCATTTAATGTCATCAACACCATATAACACCCAATGTGGGTTACTAGCTCCTCCTCCAGCCACACATTCTTAATGTACATGTCCTAGTTCCTCATTTGTTCATAGCAGATTTAAAAGAAAAGCAGCGCAGTCCCCGAACTGTGGGCATTTTATGGTTGATTACACTCTCAAAGGAAATAAACTGATTTCCTGAAACTTACATCGGTGATCATCTTCCCTCTGGTCTTATTTCTCTCCCTGTGGTTGGCCCGCTTCTGTTTTTGCTGCAAAACCCTTTCCCGGGTGGTGCGGTACTCCAGGGCAAATTCACTAATGATCCTGCAGAACTTGTTTATGTTCACTTCCCGGATCGCATACGGCGGATGCCCCATAAAGAGCAAAAAGGAATGGAACCTGCAAGGAAAAATAATAGGGCCAATGACTTCAGTTTTAAGGAACAAAAATTGATTATCTACAAATGTTCAGTAAAAACAAAACAAAACAACAACAACAAAAAAACATCAATGCAAGACAATGTTCTTTCCTGGGGCCTTGAGGTTGAAGAATCCTCTCAAGTGACGAGACCAGAGGTCAAGTTCAACTCACTTTCTCATTGAGGATGGTGAGATGGCAGGATTGAGGAGATTAAGTACATTTTTCTTTTTGCTTACCTGTGTTTTAATGCTTCCTAAAATGGATATGTGAAAGTTTTGTAACAAAAATGAATATTGCAGTTTCTAGATTATATAAAAATTAAATAAGAAATAAAGAAATGTTGCTTAGCAATTCCTTGGGAACTGCTTCAGTGAAAACTTGGAAAAGACATGGATATATTATGAACAATGTCAATTAATGGTTTATAAAAAGATGCTTATAAAATTTTCTCTCAGTAAATATTTTGATATCTTTTCTTGGAATTCTACATAGAATCTTAATTTAATTGGAACACATTGAACGAGATGCACAAAATTATCTCAGCTATTTAATTTATAAATAAGAAATTGTTGACTGTTATTTACTTAAAGTTTTTTGTAAAAGAAATTAAGTGAGCAGACGTGTGTCCAATTTTTAGTTTTCAGGATATGAGGAAGAAGATAGTAGGAGACAGAGTGAAGTTTTTATGTAAGCAAATAGTATTATATAAATGATACCACTCTTTGTAGATAAAAACTTTTGGCATTGATCATTCTAATTTGTACACTTAGAAAAAGGTTTCGTTTGTTTTTCAAATGAGTGACACTGACTTATTCTTTTTGTGAAAAGCAACAAAGTAAAACATACAACAGGAATGTAAGGTAAAGAGGACGGAAAACTGCTGCATAAAACCAAAAAATGCTAGTAAAAGTATGAAACTCTTAGAAGAAAACAAAATGTCATGACTTTTGATTAGGAAATCATTTCCTAGCTATGATACCAAAAGCAGAAGCACCCAAAGAAAATATAGATACATTCAACTTCATCAACATTAAAGAGCTTTTGTGCTTCCAAGGACTCTGTCAAGAGTGAAAAGACAACCCATAAAATGGAAGGAAACATTTGTAAATCACATGCCTGACAGGGTGTTTGTATCCAGAACATATAAAGAAAGGTTACAACTCAACACTAAAACAAACCAACAAAAACGTCTGCAGGATCTGAACAGACATTTCTCAAATGAAGATATGCAAATAGCCAGTGAGTGCATGAAGAGATGACCTTTAGTCACCAGGAATGCAAACCCAGACCACAGTGAGATGCCCTGCACGCTCACTAGGATGGATACAATGATGAGTGTGTGTGGTGAGGATGTGCAGAAACCGGAACCCTCCCGTGGCACTGATGAGCCCATAAACATGGTTCGGCTGCTGTGGACAAGTCTGGCGGTTCCTAAAAAGCTAAAATGGAGCTACTTTACGACCTGGCAGTATCGTTCCTATGCATGTACCCAAAAGAAATGAATATATGTACAAACTTCCACAAACTGTTCATAGCAGCATTAATCATGATAGCAAAAAGTAGAAAAGAAACCAATATCCACCAGCAGATGAATGAATAATAGGTGGTATCCTTACACAAGGTCTCTCGTAACTGGCCTATTACCTCTCTGACCATATCCGCTGTGGTCCCAGTCACACTGGAACCTCCTGATTCCTTGAACAAGCCCACCTCAGGGCCTGTGTGGCATCTTAACCTTTCCTTTTACACTGGGGGCCCTAAAAGAACACGGGGACCTGCAGGGACTGAGGGAAGAAGGGGTGGGGAGGCCACTCCACTGGGAGGACTAACAATACCATCTGTTCTCTCTGCCCAGAGCATGGTAGCATCCTCTCAATCCACAGGTCTCTGCCCAAATATCACACCTTCAGAGAAGCCTTCCCCTTGTAACTGCAGTGAATTCCTGGCTCATGCTGGTCATCCCATTGAGTGGCCAATAGTGAGTAAACTGGGATTGAGAGCAACATCATCCGGTGACCTGCTTACCAGGGAGAATTATCCATACATATAAAAGGTTAAGTGACCGAACGTCCGTCTGTCTGACCAGCCAGTACATATGATGTGCACTGGTAACTTAAAAATAAATGTTGACTCTTGCATGCACGATAAATATAAAGCTCTTGCTGGCGCCAATCGCATGCGTGTGTTTCTATCTGTCATTGTCCATTGTGAATGGGGTTGTTTTTGTTGACATTCTGAAGCTGAAAGAAAGCTGCGGCACTGACAGAATATGTCTGAAGACCAACTATTGGCACAACGTACCTCTGACACTTCTATTATAGAGAAAGGGAAAATAGTGATATAAAATATTTCTTCTAATTAATTTCCTTCCAATGTGTTTGGATTCGTGCACTTGGTCACTAGTATATAAATAATTATACACACACACACACACACACACACACACACACACACTATAGATGGAGCACTGAGTTTTCATGTGTCTGGGATAAAATGGTTAATGTGACCAGACAGAACAGCTTTACAAGACTTTCATGAAATCGCTCCAGTTTCGTAATATTCCAAATGAAAACTCTTTGTTTATTTGAGCAGTTTTAAGTGGGAAATCACTTGTATCATATCAAGCGTGGAGGACCAAAGCAGCTCGTGCCCTGCCTCCCTCCGTAACCATAATAAATATGAAATAAAAGCAGAGTGTGCTTGGATTTCAATGGGAAATATGGCATCTCAGGTAATGTCCAGATTACCCAAAAGGGGTAACGCTGCCATGAGGGCAGCTGTGAGGTTTGGATGGGGTGCAGCGAGGGATCTGAACAACCGCATTCCAAAAGCACTCACCAACCTGGAGGGAAGAGTCTGTTTCTTATTCCTGTTCCTAACAGTTAAAGAAGACCCCCATCCCCATGCCTACCCGCCCTGAACGGTCTCTGGAGCAAGATCCAGGAGGTCTGGTGACCAGAGCAGCAAAGGACACCAGCTGGGAGAGGGCTCCCAGACAGACAAGAGAATCAGGTCCTTAAAAATAGTCACAGGGAGGTCAAATGCAGCCCAGGAAATCCAGTCACCACTATTGTAATAACTACACAGGGTGCCAGGTGGGAGTGAGACTTATTGGGTGATCACGTTGTAAGACATATACGTGTTTAAGTACCGTGCTGCACACCTGAAACTAACAGCATACTGTACATCCACTGTAATCGGAAGTGAAAGGACTGTATGACTTCATGGAAGGTGAAGGAAGGAAATAAGGACAGAAGGGGAAAGGAGGGAGGGAAAAGAAAAAAAGAATTAAAAATGTGGAATGTTTATGAATAAACGAAAAAACACACACATCTGTTTGGAGACGTATAAAGTGCTCAGGCAGAGCCCAGGGTGTGTGCCGAGGAGCAGCCCTCTAGCACGGCCACAGCTGAGACGGCCCCCGGAGCGCAGGCTCCTCACACAGCTGCAGCGGGGCTGGCTCAGGGCCTGCCACCCGGGCTCTGCTGCAGGCTGCCCACACACCGCAGGTCTGCAGAGCCGCATGCTCACTTGCCAAAAAGCGAGGCCCAGGGCAGAGCGCTCAAACCTGCGAGATCAGAGTGAGGAAGCAAAGGGAAAGAAAGCGGTGGTGTGTGGTAGGCAATGCCCTGGCCTGGCACACTGGAAGTCCCAGGCTCTGGCCTGGCTGCTGCCTCCACTTCCAGGTGAGATGGCCCTGGACGGCCCTGGAGTCATCCTAGATCCCTGCCAGCCTCCTTGTAGGGAAGCAAGGCCTCACACAGCCCTGCTGTGCCTCCCAGGGTTCTCTTGGATCCTGTGACTCTGAGGAAGGCTGGTCCGGAGGGTGGCACAAGGCACACCACAGCACAAAGCCACCACCGAGAACCAGCGAGCGTTAGGTCTTAGAGGTCAGACTGTGGGTCGTATAAGGAAGGCATTTGCCCGGTGGGGGTAGCTCAGTGGTTGAGCATCAACCTATGAACCAGGAGGTCATGGTATGATTCCTGGCCAAGGGCACATGCCCAGGTTGTGGGCTCAATTCCAAGCAGGGGGCATGCAAGAAGCAGTAGATCGACGATTCTCTCTCATCCATGATGTTTCTATCTCTCTCTCCCTCTCCCTTTCTCTCTCCGAAATCAATAAATGTTTTTAAATGAAGAAAAGGAACTTTTCTAAAAGTCAATCTGCCTCACAATATGTGTGCTGTCTGCAGGCAAGACTGTTCAAACAGAGAGGGAGACTCAGGGCTCAGCAAAGGGTGCCTGCGAAATAGCGTTTCCTAAGAAACCCCTTGTCAGCGATGCTATAGATTCAATTCCTGATCCAGGAGGAGTTGTGAATGGCATCTCTAAGATTCTTTCCGACCTTAAGATTCAATGGCATTATAGTAGTGTGTGTGCATGTGTGTGTGTGTGTGTGTGCGCGTGTGTGAAAATTAAGCGCCCATGAAACAAACATGTGCATCAAAGGCACCCTGGCCATGTACCAAGAATTTATCACACAATTTTTATAAATGTAACCTTCAGATCTTGGTGTGCAGAATATTTCCAACATGCCCTCTTACTGGTACTCCCATGTGTTCCTCACTCTGCTCACCTGTTAATTATTCTCCTATGGACAATCTTTAAAATTATAATTCGCTCAGCACAGTCTTTCAGGAACTCTGACATGCGTTGTTTTAAAACGGGTTTCATTTCATGTTTTGCAATTGCCTTGAGGTGATCCCACGAAGCCTTGCATCTTCTCTCCAACTGACATAAATTATCCTGAAGCTGATCAAAGTCAACCTGAAAATCAGAGGGAGAGAGAACCCTGATAAACGTGCTGAAACCGCCAGACCCCAACCTGAACCAGGAAGCCCGATGGCCTTGGGAAGAAATAAACATCAAAACCAAATGTACATCTTGAAATACAAACATATTTACAGCCTCGAATTTATCCACATGTGGATCTGTCATTATCTCGGCATCAGATTATTTAGCAATAGAACCCAAGTGAACCCAAAGCAATGGCAACCTCCTTTTTTTTTTTTTGCCACATTTGGAAAAGAATCTTAGGTAAGCCTTTGAAAACTGTAAATTAAAACATGATATCAAGGAACCCTCGTCCGAGATGAACTAAGCAGATGGGTCATAAAATTTCCCAGTGCGCTCTTGTCCTTCCCAGAGGCTGGCGGAATGCACCGCAGTCACACATGGATGGCGCTGATGTGTTCCAGCGAAGGGGCAGCCTGCTGCTCGTCACAGGGACCTGGGTCAATAGTCACTTTTAGTAACTGCCAACGTGAGTGGGCAGGAGCCAAGCTCCAGGCAGAAATACGTTATTTAGTTATTAGTTTGAAAGAGGCCTGATACTGAGGGGGGTCCCGGGGCTGTCGCTGGGGTCAGCCTGGGGTCAGGACACCCAGGCCAGGGCTACTTTGGTGACACGCAGGCTCCACCTAGGGCAAGGCCCTAGGAAAACACAGGACCACGTGTAAAAAGGGAACCGATTTGTTCTAGATGGTTCTGGAAACAGGATCACGGTGAATCTAGACAGCCAGACGATTTCCTAACGAACTGTCTCATGGGAAGGTGCTCATAGGGGGTGTTAGCAGCAGCTGGGAATCCCCTTTGGGATACTCACAGGGGCCTTTTGCCTTGCTCAGGGTATAGAAGGAATATTTGCAAAGACCTCAGAGCAGTGCCTGGCACAGAGGAGCATGGTAAGAGTGCCTGCGAAATAGTGTTTCCTAAGAAACCCCTCGTTAGCCTCTGAGCTGGGGGATCGTAGGCCGGGCTTCCTCCCGCCTCAAGGCAGGTCCACTGCCGGGCTGGCTCAGGGGTCACCTGCTCAGTGTCCCTGGCAGTTGCCAGCCTGTTGGTCCTGGGGCAGTTGGAGATGTTCCAGCCCGTGTGTCCCCACAAGCTACTTCTGTGGGAGAAGGCGGAGGGAGGGAGAGCCTTAGAAAGCCCCCTTTGCTTCCTCCCCCTTCTGCTTCCTCCCCCTTCTGCTTCCTCCCCCATCTGCCCACCACTCTCTCCTCTGCTCACACTAGATTCCGATGTGACCCAGACCTAAAGGTCACTCTGCTTTCAGCTCCTTGGCCTGGGTTGTGTTTCCAGGAGTTTCCACCACACCCCTCCCAGATGCGTTGGCTGTTGCCCCCAAGATCCGGACATCTCCGGGCTCTGCTGCATTTGAGGTTCCGCTGGGCTGTGGAACCTCAGCGATGCTCCTGCAGGGGGCGCAGCTGGCTGTCCGGTGACCGCACTGTCTCCCTTCTCACACACCACCTGTTAGTGAAGGTTTGCACTCTGCACTACATTTAGGGGCTTGCAGCTGAGGGACCAGGGCCACGTATAGTTACAGCCCTACGAACCCATTCCCTCTGGGGGCCCTCACAGGGACGGCCAACCTGTGGGGCAGGGGCCCTGTGAGCCCATTTCCTGGCTCAACACCTCCCTGCCGGCCCTATGGTAGTCTGAGGAGGAGCCAAATTGCCTCTTTTTGACACCTCTGCCCACATTAAACAAGCGGGGAGTTTGAATGCCTGAGAACGCAGCCTGGTGAGTAACACAGCTCCTCCGTGGACTCAGCAGTTGGGTCGGGGATGGCAGGCTTGCTCACATACCTCAGTAGGAAAGAATCCGGCAGAGAACCAGAGACGGGAAAAGGATCTTAAAAGTGCACTCCAAAAGGCACGAGACGAGGCCTCGTCACAGACGCCAGAGCAGGAGATGCAAGCGGCCCCTGGGCGTCTTCCTGCACGGAGCCTGTGCTCCTGAGAGGACAGCTGCGGACCCCGCCCAGGGGGGCACAGGCCCTGCTCTGAGGCCACACATACCTTGGCTGACCTGGTGACGGCCCCGATCTCCGAGTACAGGTCGGAGCTGTCGGGGAAGTTCTCCACCACCATGGTGCACACGTGGTGGAGGAGCGACTGCTTGTGCACGGTGTCTTTCACTTCCGGAACCTTCTCGAGGTAGCTTAACTCAAACGCTTTGGCCTGGTAGGTGAACATCAAATAAAAGGCAGGAAGGACACGTTTTACGCAGGTTCTTAGAAAGACACAAAAGGTTAGACTCCATGCCCTGTTGGAGCAGCTCAATATATATTTTTTAAAGATATGTTTTGTTTTGTTTTGTTTTTTTTCAGAGAGAGGAGAGGAGAGAGAAAGAGGGAAAAAAAAAATCAATGTTGAGAGAGAATCATAGCTTGGCTGCCTCCTGCATGACCCCCTTTGCCCCCACGGGGAATCAAGCCCTTAACTTGGCCTGTGCCCTGACTGGGAATCGAACCGTGACCTTCTGGTTCACAGGTCGATGCTCAACCCCTGAGCCACACCGGCCAGGCACCAATATTTGGAGTGAGCGCCTTTGTGGCTGCAGCTTACACACTCTATCATTCCTAGCGGATCACACCGGGATGAACCACACTGAGAATGAGATGAACCTCCAGCCCTTTCCCACCACAGCCCTCAGCCGTGGGCTGTCCCAGGGCTCTACCCCGAGGTGCTGGGAGGCTGGGACTCTGCTATCTGGGTATCTACACTCCTTTTCTCCCTTTGCCTGTTTCTATTCTACTTCCTGGCTGAAGATAGGCTCATTTTTAAACAAGTCTGTTTATAATGCATATAACTACAAATATTTGAGTAGTAAAAAACAATTATTTGGCCCTGGCCAGTGTGATTCAATTGGTTGGGTATCATCCTGTGTACTGAAAGGTTACTGGTTCGATTCTTGGTCAGGGCACACGTCCTGGTTGTGGGTTTGATCTCTGGTTGGGGTGTGCGCGGGAGGAAGCAGATTGATGTTTCTCTTTCACATCGATGTTTTCTTTCTCTCTCTCCCCCACCTCCCCTCCTTTCTCTTTAAAATCAATAAAAACTCATTTAAACCCAAATATTTGTACTTACATACATCAGACAAACAACAGAAAAGCCTGGAAGAAAACACCTCCATTACCAATTCTGAGAGTAGCTGACCTTCGAAAGAATAATGTGTTCATTTTTCTAGGTTTTCTCATTTATAGCAAGATACAGGTTCAGATACATAGGCCCTGGTATTTTAAGAACAAATGTCTTCTAGAATTTTAGCAAGAAAATATGAAAGCTGGTTTTGGAAGACCAGTGGAATGGCCTCCACCAGCAAGCGAAGGGCAGGGATCCTGGGACAAGGGAGGGCGGGGAGGGAGGGTAAGACTTACATTAGTTCCATTTAGAAAGTTCCCGATGGCTAAGAGAGTAGACAGGATGAAGCCCAAGGTTTTATTGTTCTCCAGCTGGTCTATTCCTTCCTTCAGGTCCAAGAGCGGTTCTGCCACTTCCTTTCAATTAAAAAAAAAAAAAAAAAATGGAAGAAGCTGATAATGTTCATTTGGTTTGACTTTGTTCTTTTCGTTTCTGTACAAGGTAATCACACATTCTCCTCAGCACAGGGCAATCCCACCAGACCTGCATGTGCTCCTTGTCAAGGAAAAAATGCCGAAGCAGCTGGGAACAAGTCTAGTCTCTAAGTCTTCCCGGTGGTTAGCCACGTGGGGGCCCGTGGCTAACAGAAACGTGTGCTGGGGAAGAAGTAACCTGCCTTCCTCCTTTCCCACCCATCTTCCAAGCACGAGGACTTAGCACCCCGTCTCCTCTCATCTCACCACGGCTGACTTCTATGACACCCCTCCCTCTCGTGCTCCTTCACAATCTGGACAGTCTTCTCTGCTTTTCCCCTACCAGGCAGATGACACTGGACACCGTGGCCTTCCTGTCCCTGGACCACCCAGGTCTCCAAATTTCCCCTCTAGGCACTCTGGCCAGTCACCTCTTGAACTGAGGTCCTTTCTAGAAGGCCACCACCCTCCTCACTCCCACAGCCTTCCTCAGTCCCACCCCCTCAGGCGGGTAGCCTGCCCTGCAGCCTAATGGCCTCAGTCCCTTTTTTACTCTCACTGTGCTGTCCTCACTCCCATGTTCTTACTGAGTCTCTCCCAGGGCTTGCATCCCACGGCCAGAGGCCTCGCCTCTGCCCTGCCTGTCCCCAACCAGGGCTGACCCACCTGTCTGTTTTCTCCATGATGCCACCTCACCGGGCTGGCGAGAGCCACCGAACCCTGCTGTCTGATTTTGTGATCAAGTCATGCCCAGTCACCTGAGCAGCCCAGGTTTCTTCATCCCTGCTTGGTCCCCAAATGAATTCAAATGCAGCCGCTTCCTCCTGAAGCCCCCCAGACCCATGCCGCCTCTCTGGTCCTCGTAGAGCACGGTGCTCTCTCTGCTGCAGTAAGGGAAGGCCACGCAGGCTCTCCACCCGAGCTTTGAACCGTCTCCTCTGGGCACTTCCTCTCCATTCAACTCACCTCCAGCTCACTGTCCACCTCTGCCCTTTCCTCTCCGCTAGTTCCATGTGCTCAGCTGCCCAAAGTGCTCCTACCGCCCGGAGTCAGAGAGGACTCCTGCTCCTTCTGCTTTCTACTCAAGATGTGCCCCCCACCTCCACCCCATGCCTTTACTGTCAGGGTCCCTTTCCTTCTGTGCTCCTCTCAAGCCCTTGCAATCTGTTTTTCCGCTTTCTTCTGAGACATGCCAACGACCACCGTCAATGGCCGTGTAGACGATTATCATCAAGTGGATGGATGTCAGGTCACTTTCTATGCTGTGCTTGTCTGTATGCTCCTAATGTTCTACAATGAACCTACAGAATCAGAAGAAAAGTTAATAGCTTGTTTGAACACGCAAGCACGTGTCTGAGGCTGGTGCCAGGCACACCCATTAGGATAACCCAACACTGGCAGGATCCTGATCACTCAGCACAGACACCGCCTCGTCATCATCAACTCACCCTCCCTCGAGGATGGCACTCCACTCCCTTCCCCGAAGCAAACCTGACTTCCTCAGCATGGGGTGCAGACCTGGCGGCCTCTCCTCCATGCTTACCTTTTCTGTGGTTTCATAGTCCATCTTGAACGCCCAGAGGTGGAGCCGTGCTGAGAGCTCGCTGATGGAGGAGAGTGTGAGGAGGAACTGCTCTGCGCTGCCCAGCGGTGCCTCAGGGTTGGCCAGCTGGGCCTCCTGGATTTTCTGCTTCTCCTCTTCCGTGGGGATCATGGTTAGAATTTTCTGGAAAAGACGAGATGATACAGTATATGTTCTTGCTTAGTGATGGAACCTATCTCACCCCTTTGATATAGTGAAATTCATATTATAACTTTCCAACCAGGTAGGCAAGATGTTCTGTTGCCAGTGTTCTATTTCATACAGGTGTTACCTTGTCATAAATCAAATGTACATTGGAGAAAAGCCCCACTGGCATCTAACCTGACATTTCTTTGTTCTAAACGTCCCTCTTTCCCTCTCGCCCCTTTAACCTGTTTCATAAGCAACTTGTCCCCAAATGTTCTGGGTCTTGTACATGAAGGACATTCTGAAATCCATCCTCTTGATGAAGGTGAGAGAAAGGTGATAGGATAAGATAGAAGATTAGAGAACGGCTTCCTGTTACCTAGAAAACAGTAAAACATCTCAAGGATGTATGTTTTCTAGTCCTTCTGATTGATTCATTTTAAAGCTTATAAAAGCGAGTCACTTCCAAATAACTCAGATCGACTTATCCATGGGACGTATAATTTTAAGTGTTGTAAACACTTACACTATATTTTAAAATTTATATAGAAATGAAAACATTTTAAATGATATCGAACTCAATTGAACAGGTAGTGAGTTGACCCATTTTCCCTCTGGCATTCCTCAGTCTGGGTGTAAGGGAGTGGGAAACCTGGAAGAGGGTTTCAAGTGCAGAGCATTCCAGTGAACCCTCTCGTCCTGACTAGGAGTGGGAAAGGGGCCTCCTAGCAGAGGCAGCAGGGGCTGAAGGCACCTAAAACTCCAGAGGAAGAGAACCTTCCTCTCCAATCAGTGATGCTGTGGTCCAAACCCCTTCTGCTTTTCTTCTCTCTGTCCTCCCTTGGCTTGGCCCTAAACGTGAGCATAGTTACAGAAGGTGGATGGCAAAGTGAGATAACAAAGCCCCAGCTTTCAGCTGGAACACCAAAACGGAAGGCCCAGGGCCCTGGAAAGTACTGGAAAGGTCCCGGAAAGCTAAGAACCTGGCAAAGCAAGTGTATAATGTTGCTTAAGAACTTCTGAGTTCATCCCTGAGCTGTCATCTGTGAGGCTGACCTTAACCAGCACATCAAAGACTTGGAGACCTGGACTAGCCTTTGAAAACTTCAAAAATGGATCCAAAGCTGGAACCACAGCCTGAAAGATGAAGTTCTGAATCCTGGCCTGAACCCAAGCAAGGGAGGGCTAGTTTTCAATTCTCTGTATAAAATCAGAATTACCCTGATACAAAAACTACACAAAGATAATGCAAGAAAAGAAAGCTAGAGACCAATGCCTCTGATGAAATTAGATGCATAAATCCTTAACAACATAATTTAAAATATATAATGTCAGTATGTTGAAATATATAAACACATGACTATATTTTATATAGCAATATAACAAAAATAATAACCACAAGGTTGATTCAATATGCGGTAATCAATTACTACAATTAACGTACAAGATTAATAATCTGAATAAGAGAATTCACATAATCATTTCATTTGATACAAAAACTTTTTTAAATAAAATTCAAAATTCATGACAAAAAACAAATAAACTCCCAGCCACCCAGCAGTAAGATAGATCTTCCCATACCTGATAAATGACATTTTATAAAAGACATACAGCTCACATCATGCTTAGTGGAGATAAGCTGAATGCTTTCTCTCTAATATTGGGAACAAGATAGGAGGTATTTTATAAAAAGCCACATGGATGGAAAAGGAAAAATGTAAACTGTTCCTATTGCACCAGGTAGAATTGTCTACATAGAAAATTGTGAGGAACCTAAAAAATTTATAAAACAGTGAGTTTAAAAAATGCTGTATGACATTAGGTCAATATACAGAAAAATCTATTTTATTTCTATATTGATAATGTACAATTACAAACTGAAATTTAAGAAAAATGCTATTTATAATGGAATACTTAGATATAAATCTAACAAACCACTCATGTAAGGTCCGTATGCTGGAAAGTAGCAAGTGCTGATAAAAATGATTTTAAAAAGACCTAAGTAACTAGGAGACATACTATGTTCATGGACTAAAAGACAATAAAGGTCATATATTAATTTCCCAAAATTGGTCTATAAATTTAACTCAATTCCAATGAAAATACCAGCATAGTATTTTTTGTGGATACACACAAACTGATTCTAAGTATTATATGGCAAAGCAGATGAACCAAACCATAACAATTTTGAAAACGAATAACTTTGAGGGGGTTACACCACCCAATTTTAAAATGTATTGTAGATCAATAGTAATAAGCCAGTGTGGTCTGGGCAACAGGACAGACATAGATCAATGGAACAAAACAGGGAGTGCAGAAAGAGACCACACAAATACAGCCATTGATTCTGACAAAGAAGCAAAAGCATTTTAAAGGCGAAAAGATAGTATTTTCAACAAATGGTTTTAGAACAATTGGCATTCATATGCAAAAAAAGGAACCTCAATTTAAACCTTACAGTTTACACGTGGATTAACTCAAAAGAAATAAAAGACCTAAAGTAAAAGCTAATACCGCAAAACATTTAGAAAGAAACAGGAGAAAATCTCTGTGGCTCATGTTAGGCAATGAGCTCTTAGACATGATATCAAAAGGTCAGGTTGATAAACTGAACTTCCTCCACATTAAAGACTTGAAAAACACTGTTAAGAGATTGAAAAGGCAAGGTGCAGCCCCTCAAAAGTTTAAACGCAGAATTACCACATGAACCAGCAATTCCACTTATAGGTTTTCACCCATGAAAACTTATGTTCACACAAAAACTTGTACCTAAATACTTGTAGCACCTTTATCCATAAATTTCAAAAACTGGACCAAACTATATATTCTTCAACAGCTGAATAAAGTGTACTCAGCAATAAAAAGGGACAAACTACAGGGACATACCACAACTAAGAAGACTCTCACAGACACACTGAGTGAAAGAGGCCAGTTATGATTCCATTTATGTGAAATCCTCCAAAAGACAAAACCATAGTGATGAGACCAAACCTGTGGTTTCCAGGGGCCAGAGGCGAGCTCAGATTGCGACTAGAAAGTGACAGCACAAGAGCACAGTTTTGAGGGGAAATGAGGCTGTTTTGAATCCTAACAATTAGGATTTGCTATAAAGCTCTTAGAGCTGTATAGCAAAAAGTTTCATTTTGCTCTATATTAATGCAAAAAAAAAAAAAAAAAAAAAGAACAAAATTGAAATCCTGGTCCCCTGACATCATAATTGGCAAACGTGCAGGTGTTTCCAGGATTGTGCCCCAGGACGCGTGTGGCGGGGCAGAAGCCATCTGGGTTTGCTGAGCATGTGATCAGGGAGGGCTGTCTCAGTCCTTCATCGGGAGCCAGTGATGCCCAGCTGCATGGGAGGCATGTGTTCTGTGCTGCAGTCGGAGTGAGGTCATGCCCTCGGCCCTGGCTGGTTTGGTTCAGTGGTTCAAGTGTTGGCTGTGATCTGAAGGGTTGCGAGTTCAATTCCCTGTCAAGGGCAAATACCTGGGTTGCAGGTTCAACCCCTGGCCCTGGTCAGGGTGAGAGCAGGAGGCAACCAATCAATGTATCTCTCTCATGTCAATGTTCCTCTCTCTCTCTCTCTCTCTCTCTCTCTCTCTCTCTCTCTCTCTCTCTCTCTCTCTCTCCCTCTCTCCCTCCCTCCCTCCCTCCCTCCCTCCCTCCCCTCTCCTCTCCTCTCCTCTCCTCTATCTCTTTCTCTCCCCCTTCCTCCTCCCTTCTATTCTCTCTAAAAATCAACAGAAAAAAATATCCTCACCCAAGGATTTAAAAAAAAAAAAAAAAAAAGAAGGTATGCCCTCAGATACCGCCTCTTCCAATATGCTCCTCATCATGGCCTCTGAGATGATGCAGGTGGGATGTGACATCGGGGCGATATGCAGCGACAGTGCCCCTTGCTCTCCCACAAGCTCTGCTTGGACCCCACCTGTTCCCTCAGATGGTATTAAACAACAGGCAAAGCAATCCACGCCCAGGATTTGAGCTCAATCTGCTTTCAAAATAAAAACGTAACTAAAATTTGTATTTTAATTTTCCTCCTGCTCAAATTGTTTTCAACATGGACAAGAATTCCGAAATAAAAAATTGTCAACACTTTCCCTTCTTCAGAAGGCATTTTCCTGCCACGGTTTTGAGTTGCCTTTTTCCTTTGGGAAAGCAATCAAACTCTCTTACTTTTGTTTTTCACGTCTCTGACTAATTGAAACCATTTGTTCAGTGTTGAAAATTTATGAGGCTGCCAGCTGCCGGTTTGTTTTATTTTTTTCACACATCACTGACAATAAAAATAGCCCCAAGACAGTGGAACGGCAGGTCAGCGCCACCTCCTCTGAGGTGAGGGCTGTGTTTTTCCAGGAGCAGATAAAAGGAGATGAGCAGGAGGGGGAACCCCTGATTTGCTCTTCTCTGGGCCAGTAGATCTACTGATGATTTTATGATCGCCATTTGGTTCCATGGGGAGAAAAACATCAAATAACTCCCCTACGCAATAATGCAATGTCTTTTTGTTTTTTATTTCTTCCCCCAACAGGGTTTCACTTGCTTGTGTACCTGAAAGCCAAATGTCAGAGAACAATGCACAAGTTTCACTTTTTATGGACCCAAATGGTTAAGGGGTTTGGCCATCTCATTCACATGCAGATGAGGTCGCAATGAGGAATTCCTTTACCTTGTGAGTTTTGAGCAGAACCCTGGCTGTAGCTCTGGATGAGAACCTCACACAAGGATTTTGGTGACAACAGCAGAGAGCTGAAGAGCTGGGCCTGGTTAGTATACAACTTGTATATTCTCATGAAACAATGGCTTTCCATTTGGGTATTGAGTCTCATGGACATGGAGGGATCTTTTTGGGGGGTCTTGATTGCCATCTTCTTTCATTGTTGGGACTATTTAGGGAAACACCTGGGGCAGAAATGATTGCATCAAACTTGCAGATGAAGTGAGTTGCCTGAGAGAGGCTGGGCCCACCAGGCCAGCACTGGAACCACTCGGGAGCCCCTGCTGCTTTCCCAGCACCAGCTCCATGGATCACAGCAACTCAACCAGAATGCAAAGCTAACAGCACAGTGGAGGTCCAGCCACAGGAACCCTGGGTCCTGGCTCTGCTGACCCAGTGTGACACCTGACCGAGTCAGGCTCACTGCGTGCATCGGTCACTTGCAGATCGGGTTGTATAGCACAAAGTGCTTGGAAAGGCGCCATAGGTTTGTACCTGTGGCCAAAGGGAATTTCTGTCTCTAGGATGCTGACTGGCCAGGCAGCCAACCAGGCCAAGTTCAATGTTACTTGGACCATTCAATTGTGCTACCCTCCATAAAAATCAAAAAAGCAAAAAAACAAACAAAAAAAAATGGGGGGGGGGGGGACTCCTCATACTTCCATTGTGATACCAAAGCAATGTTCTAAAGTTTAATCCTCTTATGAAAAACTACTTCCATAATGAAGTTAGTCAACGGCTCCCTCAGGTTTGCACAGCAAACCGGACACATACCATTGGGTTGCTAAGCAAAGCCACAGGATGTCATTGAATACATCCTAATCACATTAGGCACAGAGAGGTTTCAAATGGCCCTATTAAGTCGTGCTGCCATGCTCCGGTGCCTGCCTCCCAGAAGCAGACAGTCTGGCACAAGACCCTTGGCACGCAAGCTAGAAATCTCATTAGTAAAGATCTGTAATGCACAGCTTCCATCTCTTCATGGAATGCATGCCCTGACTTCATTCTTGAACAAGTCTAGAGAAAAACTCTGGAAAAGTGGATCAGCACATGAATGTAGACCATGCTATGCCCCCTAGGTCCCGGAGATCAGCAGTCAGAGGCAGCAGGTCATGGGTTCCAAGTTCTCCAAGAGAACTAGTAGTTGCTGAACAAGCATTCAAAAAATATATGTATATAGTTTCTGGATTCACACAGGCAGCCTTAAATCAGGGGTTCTCACTCAGTCAGGGTGATTTTGTGCCCAGGAAACATTTGACAAAGGTTGGAGACATTTTTGGTTGTCATCACTGGGGTGGTAGGAGCCAGGGATGTTGCTAAACATCCCACAATGTACAGGGCAGCTCCCACAATAAAGAACTGCCCAGCCCAGCCCTGGGAACAATGCGGCTCAGTTGGCTGGGTGTTGTCCCATGCACCGAAGGATTGCCGGTTCAATTCCTGCTCCAGGTACATACCAGGTTTCAGGCTCTATCCCCAGTCCTGGGTGTGCAAGAGGTAGCTGATTGATGTTTCATTTTCACATCCATCTCCCCCGCACCCCCCTAAAAATCAGTTTTTAAAAAAAATCTTAAAAAAAACAAACTGCCTAGCCGAGAATATCAATAGTGCCACTGTTGAGAAGCCCTGCTTCAGATGAAAACTGCTATAAAAAAGTGTAACTCTATGTGTTGTTGTGGCTAATCATAGATTTACTGAGGATTCATGGCCCAATAAACTCTCAGGAGGGTTGAGTAGTGTTTTCTACAGCCATGTCTTCGTGCTTCATATCATTCCTTTCTTCAGCTACTCTCAGAGGAAAACCACAGGCAGCACTGTGAAGTGGACTGCGCGGCCTCCTGAGTCTGCTCACCCCCCTTTCAAATTCCCTCTTATTCTTTTTGGCATCCGTAGGCCCCCCTGGCCAGCCATCCCCAAGGCCTGTGCTCTGCCCCTTAGACTCAGATTCTAGAGCTCATATTGCAGCTTAACCTCTCACTGGTTTGTGAACTTGGGCACAGACTAAAACTGAGACTCGCTCTCTTCATCTTTAAGATGAGAAACGTGATAGTATGGCCTTCTGATCATTGCCAGTGTGAAGCACCTCGCTGGTGCCTGGCCCACGGGAAGAAACTGATGACAGCTATTTTTGTGCTGGGATGCCATGCCCATATCCATCATCTCTATGGTTGCTCTCATTACTCCTTCCGGGATCAAAAAGGCGCTCAGCTGGAAAGCAGTCAGAAAAGGAAAAAGCAATCTGATTCGTTCTGAACCCTAAGTAACTTATTGCATCTCAAGCAATAAGTTTCCCCAACCAGGAAGAGCGACATTTCAGGAAAGAAGAAAGGCAAAGCCCAAAGGAATCCATCTCTCCTAATGGACGTTCAAGTTCTCAGCACAAGAATGGGAAATATTGTCAAAGGGGAAAGTTTCATTTCCCCCCCTTTTATCAGGCTGGCTCTGGCAGCATTTGAAGTCTCTCTTTGAATGAGCCTGAAGCTTTTACAACCTCTAAAGACCCTGTTACATAAATAGGATGGTCCGAAAGTGTGCCAGGGCCCACCTACCATGCTCTTTGTCCTAGATGAACGTTTGTTTTGTCCAGGTGGGAAGCCCCCACCTGCCCAATGGCAAGCCAATGCCTTCCCCCTTCTTCTTGTTTGGGAGTATCTCAATGTCCCTTTCTGTATGTACCTGCTGTCACCTGCATTCTCCTTTATGCTCCCTGCCCCAATCAGCCATGTGCCTTCACTCCCTGGCTGCCCACCTGGATATGTTGACCTGCTCTGCTGCCTGGCCTGACTCTATACTTGGGGCTCAATTTCCTTTCAGGAGATGTATTCCCTCCTTGTACTTGCTCCTTGGGACAGGGTGTGTGTGTGTGTGTGTGTGTGTGTGTGTGTGTGTTTCTAAGAGTAGAGCTGCTTAAACTTATAGTGGTTTCCTAGCGTGGCTGTAACCACAGAGTGAATTTGAGAGACTAGAAGTTGCTTATCAAGGACTGGGTAGGGCTATGTTCTCTCTACAAGCCCCCGGTAAGGACCTGTGTTGCCTCTCCCTAGCGTCTGGTGGTTGCAGGCAATCCTCGGTGCTCCTTGACCTGTAAATACATCACTCCAGTCCCCGCCTCCGTCACCTCCCGCCACTCTGGTCTGTGGTCTCCTGTGTGTTTTCTATCTGCGCAAAGCTTCTTCCTCTCTACATCTACTTGGAAACATCCATCTTCTTATAAGGATCTCAGTCCCTGGAGCAGGGCCCACGCCCATCTAGCACAAGTTTATCTTAACTGGATCACATCTGCAAGGACTGTTTCCAAATAAGGTCATATTCTGAGGTCTTGGGTGGACATGGGTTTTGAAGGGACCCTGCTCCATCCAGCTTAAACCTCTAGGGACTCTGTCTCCAGTGGAGGCCTCTTCTTTTCAAAGCACAAAGGCACACCCTCTCCCCTCCCCCCACTGCAACCTCCCACACTCAGGACTGGGTCAAGTCTGGCATCCTGGCCTGAGCCACTCCTTGCATCCAACTCTTTGGTCAAGGGCTTGCTTTCCTCATTGCAGTCAGTCCTCCTTTGTTCTCTCTACTCTCTCACATAGTCTTTCACATAAGACTGTGCATGAATGAACCCCAAGTATGGAAGAATATTAAAGGAACCCAGGGCTTCTTGCTGATAGATGGAGTGGCTATCACCCAATGCTGTGAAGCGGGGTCCTCCTGTCCCCACTCTGACCCGATGGGCCTCAGCCTGTATCGCCCATCTGTCTTTGTTAATCCTCACCCGAGAATCTTTTTTCCATTGATATTTTTTTAAAGAGAGAGACACATGGATTGGTTGTCTCCCGCACATGCCCTGACTAGGGCTGAGGATTGAGCCTGCATCGAGGTTTGTGCCCTTGACCAGAAATCGAACCTGTGACCCTTTGGTGGGTGGGCCATCACTCTAGCCACTGCACCACGCCGGCTAGGCTGCCCATCTGTAGGAATCTGAGGGCTGGGTCATTGGCTCTGTCTCCATGATTAGAATAGCACTCGCCCACAGTGAAGGAAGCACAGGTCCTGGCGGGAGAGCACTGAGCCCTGCCTGGCAGAGCAGGTGAGCTGTGGCTCCAGCGAGGCCACCTACCAGTCATGTAGTCACAGCCACGTGACCCAACCTCTCTGCACTTGTGCCATTGAGACCAGCACATGCCAAAGCCCCAGCTGGTTTGGCTTCTCCAGTTACTCAAATGAAACTTATCTCTACACACCCTAACAAGTGCAAAGAGAGAAACAAAGTCATTTACCTGGATATGAGCACACCCTACTTTTAAAAGTGCTCCTTAATCATATTTGATTTGAAATGATGTGAAAGAAGATCCTGAGAGCCTCCTAAGGGGGTTATCACGTTCTTCCTCCAGGATGACGTAGGAGGAGCACGGTCAGAAGGAAGTCAGTAAAGGAACCATGAACTTCATAGGTAATGAAGGGCTTACCCATCCCCAAGAAGTTAAAAAAAAACATGAGAATTATGAACACTGTTCAGAGTCTGGCTGAGACAAAAAGAAAAAAAATGGCAAGCCACCATAGAGAGAAAGTCATACTGAAAACAGGAATGCTTTGCATACACGTGACACATTGCAGACACAAAGGATGCGTGGCAGAGCGGCTCTCACCTCGATTCCCTCCTTATTTAAGGCATATTCATCAAAATTCAAGATGGCGATCTTGATCGTTCTTGGCGGGGGCAGCACGGTCAGCCCGATGTTGATGGCGTTGCTCCTCTTTGAGTCCAGGACAATGATCTCCTGCCTTTTCCCGTCCGCGGCAGTTTTCTGGGTAACAGAACAAGGAGGATCCAAGATTAATGCCTCATCTCTCGTCCTTTCTGTGTCTCATTATTAAAAGCAAACTCACTACTTATTCAGAGATGAAAACCAGTGGCCCCACCGAGGCGCAGAGGACTGGCTACTGCTCAGCACAGAAGAAAGCGACCAGGGCTTGGCTCTGGGCAGCCGCCAGGCGCGGGCCAGCGGTGGAACTTCGCAAGTCAGACACATTACAAAACAAAATTGATTTTCCTTCAATTGGGAACAATGTGATATTTTGCAGGAAACACACACACACACACACACACACACACACACACACACACTCCACTCACCCCTGTTTTTTTCCCATAGAAGCAGTGGAAACAAAACTAAAACCTCCCAAAGCTTCCTCCCTGCGGTCTGCAAGGAATCAGAGTGTGCTCTGGTTGGCCCTAGGGCATATGGTGTGTGCCTGGGGATGGAGACGGTGGTACACATGCTGAGGAGACAGAGGGATAGGGAGAACCTGCCACTACTGGCCAGTCAGCCCCTCTGGATCCCTGGCCACATGTCTCAGGGGCTCCTCTCACCATTCAAATCTCCCATGCCCCTTATTCCAGAGCACCTGCCACACTTGCACATGTGGGCAGCTGCCACTAGTGGGTGGGGAGGGACCTTCTTAGGAAGGAGATCAAAGGACAGGTGCTGGTGAAGAGGAATGGGGGACAAACAGACCTGGAGGCCAAGGAGGGGAACAGGGCACAGAGGTGTCCAAGTGTCCTCATAGAGCCCCCATGTGTGGCTTCCCTGCTGGGCTGAGTGCTTGAAGGCAGGCCCTGGGTGTGTGTTGCCTAGAGATGAGGTGACAAGGCCTCCAGCTTCCCCCTGAGCTCCTGGGAAGTTAAGGGAAAGGGCCGTGGGGACAAGTGGACAAGGTCTGGTCAGCAAGCCCCCTAACTGTGCAAACAGAGCTGGGAGAATGACTATTCTTATTCAGGTAACAAGCCTAGATGACAATGATGAATTAGGCAGAGTGGACCGATCTCTCTTTCTCTCTCCCCCATATACACATGTATATATAATTGATTTTTACAGAGAAGAAGAGAAGGGAAAGAGAGTTAGAAACATCGATGGGAGAGAATCACCAATCAGCTTCCCCTTGCACATCCCCCATTGGGGATGTGCCTGCAACCAAGGTACATGCCCTTGACTAGAATCGAACCTGGGACCCTTCAGCCCGCAGGCCGATGCTCTATCCACTGAGCCAAACCGGTTTCGGCAGAGAGTGGATCTCTTGAAGGAAAATATGGGGTGTTCACAATGTGAAAGGGCTCAGCAGTGGGATAACTAACTCAACTAGTGTTGGGGGACAGGGCCTGGAGGAGCTGTCACCTCCGCTGGGTCCTAAAGAGTGTGTAGGATCCAGTTTGGAAGAAGATAAGGAGTTAAGAAATGTCAATCTTTGTCAAGATTGCTAGGGACTGCCAGAGAAGAAGCTAGAGGTTTGGGGGGCCACATCTGGGGGCCCTCAGGAGCCAGCCACTCTAACTCCATTGCAGGCGGGCTCCAACCGAATGGCTGGCTGCTGCTCACCCTGGGTGTGGCTGGGCTGGGAGCAGCGGAACTGTCAGGAGAAGCTGGCCTGCTGCAACACGAGAGGCTGAAAGCTGGCTGGGAGAGGACTGCGGCCCCTTACGTCCTACTGAGCCCTTCCAAACTCAATTACTAAAATGCTATTTTAGATCCTTAAATATGCATTTGGGAATAAATTAAAATTTCCTCCAGAAGAAAATAATTGAAAGCATCCCTGCTGCTCTGGGGCCTGGTGGCCAGGAGGAACAGTGCCTGTGGGTGTGGCATCACTCTGACTGCCAGCTGCCAGCTTCCGGGAGGTATGGCATATGGACGCACCCTCGTTCCGCAGGGCAACTATCCATTTAGCCCAATGAGCCTCTCGGGAACCCTTGAAATTTAGCTTTTAAAATATAGTCACAAATAGTATTTTGTGCATGAAATGCTAAGAAGGAATGAGAAAGGGGTTGGCAAATGGTGACTACAGGCAATGAAGAGGGAGGGGTGAGAGGGATATTAAGATTTGAAATTCCCACCCACCCAGCACTCACTCTTTCTTCCCTGCTCACAGCAGGACCCTGACTTCAGTCGGGCTGGCAATGTGTCAGTGACATCAGTCCCATCCCTGAACCCTTGCAGCCAAAGCTGGGCCTGTGACCTAGGTCTGGCTTTTGTTTTTCTGATTAAAAAGGGATAGACCCAGAGGGCCATGTCTGTTGCCCTTCCCCTTTTTTTCCTGCCGAGAGTGTGGACATGAGGCTAGACAAGGATGGCAGCACGGAAGCAGCCTGGGCCTGGCATTGGAGGGGCACTTTCCCCGAACCAGGCTCCAGTGCAGAGGAACCCAGAGAGATGCCTGTACAGGCCCAGCCCAACCAGAGCCTTTGTGCAAATGAATGTGCAAATGAATGAGACACATTCCCATGCAAACAGCCTGAGAAGAAAGCACCACTCAGATTTCAGCCCTGACCTTCAGCCAGTGTCTATGTGCCAAACAACATGCACAGGCCTATATGGTGGCCCTGAGCCTGACGTAACCTTGTCCTCATCTCAGTATAATTCAATGGATACCAGTGAGCACAGCCACACACTCCCCTGAATGTTGGGGAGATGCCTCCAGGTATCCTGAGACACTGGGGAAAGCTGTTCTCACAGATGATTCTCCATGTTTTCAGAGCTACTTCCACCCACTTTGTGAAGGAATAAGAATTAAATATCTGAAATTGAATTATTCAGTCTCTGGAGTTTATCCAAGAAATGTTTTAAATGCTGTGCTTCATAATGAAAACAGATTCCACCGGACGCTATTTGAGCACACCAGTGCCTTGGGGTTTGTCTTGCCTGAAATAAGGTGGTGGCTCATGTAGGGCTGTCCTTTCTTCCCACAGTAACCTAGAGAAGCCCCTGCAGGAGCGAGCCAAAGTTCCCCCTGCCTGTGTCTAAGGGTTAGCCCAAGAGCCCGTGCCCGTGTCTAAGGGTTAGCAGTCATCAATTCTGACCCATTTCAATCATCTTTTTGGGTTTAAAGTCCTCGATCATAAGTATGACCTTCACTCTAACCTTCACATGGTCCTGTGACACAGCAATGGCATCCATCATCTTCCGCAAAACCTCTCATGCCCCTGTCCTTCGCTCCTACCACCTCCGCCCTGAGCCCAGCCCCTGGTGCCAGCCTCCACCCCTGGCCTGCTCCTAGTCTCTCCTCCTCCCCAGCCCACCCATCTCTCACGTGCTCACAGCCTTTCTCAGTCGCCCATTTCCTTATTGCACTTCTTTTTTTTTTTTTTTTTAATATATTTTACTGATTTTATACAGAGAGGAATTGAGAGGGACAGAGAGTTAGAAATGCCGATGAGAGAGAAACATCGACCAGCTGCCTTGCACATCCCCCACTGGGGATGTGCCCGCAACCAAGGTACATGCCCTTGACCGGAATCGAACCTGGGACCCTTCAGTCCGTAGGCCGACGCTCTATCCACTGAGCAAAACCAGTCCCAGCGTTATTGCACTTCTTTGATCAGAAAGTCAGAGACTATCCATTGTTTGAAATTAGAAAAATAGGAAATTGGTCAACGATGGAAAGAGGATGTGAAGCAGAAGCCAAAGAAGAAAGAGTGGTCCTTGTGAAGGAGATTAGGAAATGTTAAATGCCCTTCTGAAGGCATCTAGAACAAAAGGGTAAGATGTGATGGGAGGACGCTGGCACAGGACTTGGGAAGATGACAGGGGGCATTACTTCCAGGCAGGAAATCAGAAAATTGTCCTGCATCTGACAGGAGACTTGACACACCCCGAAAAGCAACTCCCAAACAAGAAAGCAACAGACCAAAACCTCTTGACATATCGACACAGGGCCAACTGAAGGAAAGTAATAAAAGAAGTTGTGAATAAAGGAGAAACAGCATATTCCTGGATAGGAAGTCTCAGTGTTAAAAGAAGGCTCATTATCTCTCATCTAATACATACATTTAAAGTAATTCTAATAAAAACCCAAAAAGATTTTTTTTAGAATTAAAAAACATTTTAAAGTCACTATGAAAAGCTGTATGTATATAAAAAAAACAGTAGAGTTATATATAATATTTACCCAATCAGCAATAAAAACATTATAAAACCAATATAATTAAAATGTGTAGCACTAGAATAGCTAGAATGATAGAACAGAAAAAGTGATAGTACAGAAAAAGCTCTCAGACAACAATCCGGGACATTCCAACACAGACCAAGATTAGTGAGTGACATTCATCTGAACGCCCAATCTCTAACGTTCACATAATTTATCTAGTATCCCAGCCTGGACATTGCCACCGCTGAATTTTTTTTTTTTTTTAAGTAACAGCTAATAGATTCTGATACATTTAGAAACTTCAGGGCAAATAAAGTTGAGCAATCTCTCCAAATCCATTCTAGAGCCCCCTCTTCATGATAAACAAAAAGCACTGAGCTCCCAAGGGAAAGCCAAGTGCCCTTCTTCATCGCTTCCCCCCACATCTGTAACGTGGGAGACAGAGGCTACCCTTTGCAGTCCTTTATTAGGCACATCAGCTAGACGGCCCCTTCCTGGGCTCCTCAGGATGACATCAAGTTCAGAGAGGGTCTGTCCCCAGACCCTCAAGGGCTTTCTGCCTTACCTCTTTCTCTGGGGACTCTTCTGCCCTAGGGTTGGCAAACTCATTAGTCAACAGAGCCAAATAGCAACAGTACAACGATTGAAATTCCTTTTGAGAGCCAAATTTTTTTAAATTAAACTTCTTATAATGCCACTTCTTCAAAATAGACTCGCCCAGGCCGTGGTATTTTGTGGAAGAGCCACACTCAGGGTGCCAAAGCCCCGCATGTGGCTCAAGAGCCGCAGTTTACCCACCACGACCCTATGTGACTCTCCACATCTTAGACCAACAGTAGAAATACAACATGATGAAATTTAGCACAGGATTTCTGTCTTTCTCCACAAAACATAATTAAAGTCATCTTACTAAAAAGGCCATATATATATATATATATATATATATATATATATATATATATTTTTTTTTTTTTTTTTTTTTTTTTTTTTTCCTGCAGAAACAGAGAGAGAGAAATGTAGACCCAGTTCCAGAAACTATTTGGAAAGGGAATAAAAAAGCACATCTTTCTCTTATCGTTTCTGTGAAGTGCTGACTTGCCTGGCTCTTGCACACGAATCTTTGGTGGGGGTGGGGAGGACTCGGATGGTGCCCTGTTCTGACGCTGGCATCGTGTAAAGTCTCTAACGGAAACGGAAACAGACTCCCTTTGCTATATGCTGTCTTGCAAAATTGACTTGATTTTATTTTTGTTGCACTCCATTGTGTTTAATGAAAAACTTCTTGTGAGTCAGGATTCGGAAGTGGCTGCTTACAGCTGTGTTTCATAAAAATCCCAGTCATGCATTAGAAACCGAAGTTAAAACTGGCTATAGCTGCAGTGGTAGCATACACACGATGGACCCAACTCTCAATGGACTGCGTTTTAACCCGTTTTCATGCTCACCTCCCGTGGCATTTGTAAATTAACCCCCTGCTCACATTCCCTATCTCCCCAAAACAAAGGTTGGGCTCCTGGGTCCTGTGGTAGAAAATTCTGGAGTCCTTCTGATAAATTTTTCAATATATTACTTTCCTCTTACGCTTTCACTTTATACAAACTAGGCAAATGTGTGCCCTTTGTCTAGGCCCTTGGTCAGCAAACTGTGGCTCGAGAGCCACATGCGGCTCTTTGGCCCCTTGAGTGTGGCTCTTCCACAAAAATACCTCGGCCTGGGCGGGTCTATTTTGAACAAGTGGCCTTAGAAGAAGTTTAAGTTTAAAAAATGCGGCTCTCAAAAGGAATTTCAATCGTTGTACTGTTGATATTTGGCTCTGTTGACTACTGTGTTTGCTGACCACTGGGCTAAGCAATAACTTGTTTTAAGAGGTCACCACCTATAATATATCAAGCAAGAAGGAACCTTTGGGCTCCTGGAAGGGCATAAACCAGACTTGTCATTGACCACAGTGGGACCACGAGGAGGGAAGGGAGGGGAACTGCCCATTTAGGGTCTTCTCCAGGAAGCTTCTAATCTTACCATGTCCCTTGTAAAAATAAAGTCAGAAGTACCTTCACTGCCAACCTGTTCCTCCCGTTATTCCTCCTGCCTGGAGTTGAGGGCCAGCCTCTCCCCAGACACCTCTGAGGTGATGAGCTAGCAGGGGTGGGGGTGGTTGGGGGGTTGGCTAGAGGGCGAAACCAGTCAGATGAGCCTGGAGGGGGGTGGAGGGAAGGAGGGGGAAGAGGAAGGAGATGTCCAACTAGATCAGCAGAGTGGAGGCTGGAATGAGTGAAGTCAACTGTTGGATAATTCCTGGCAACCAAAGACAGCTGTTTAACCCAGCCAGGCCCGTTATCCCCAAATGCCAGGCCCGACTTTAAGAACTGAAAGGACCCGGCCTAGGAGGCTCAGGGGTTGAGTGTCAACCTATGAACCAGGAGGTCATGGTTTGATTCCCCATCCCCGGTCCCTGGTCGGGGTACATGCCTGATCCCCAGAGTGGCGAGTGGAGGAGGCAGCCAATCAATGATTCTCTTTCATGATTGAATTTTTTTCTCTCTCTCCCTCTCCCTTCCCTTCTAAAATAAAAAAATATATATTTAAAAAAAACTACAGGGCTGAGCTGAGCACCACATGTTACCAGTCCTGGAAAGTCACACACAAGATGAGTTTTAACAGAAAGTTGACTGGTTACAGCCCCCCTACCTGGTCAGTCAGCAATGCATGGACAGGCACCAGCTCTGTCACTGGAGTCCCTGTCTGTGGGAGCTCTTGCCCAAGGATGCCGCCCATACTTTCTGGTTCGGAATAGGAACCTGGCTGGCAGGCCAGAGAGCCTGACTCAGGCAGCCTATCCTCACCCAAACAATGGTAAATGGGGAAACACGCAAAGCTAGAACTAACTCCGAGAATAAGTTCTGAAGTGGTCACTCTAAATTATACTTTACAAAGTGTTTCCTTACACCCCTGGTTCCCGAGAAGTTAGAATCGTCTTAAACCTGTTTGAAAACTGTAACACACCCCACATAACAAAGGTTTTAAAAACAACCACCCACCAGTTCTTTAAGACCCAAATCATTAGAAATAAAACCTGTGATGCAGGACGCTGCCGGTTCCTTTCTCATTAACCGGGGCTTTATCCTTAATGCCCACTGACTTCGTGAACAGTGCTGCCCATGATATGACATCTCTATTAAAAACACCACCGCAGCAAAGCCTGAAGAATTCTCAGACACTTATACGAAGAATCAGAAATCTAGATGGATGCCTAATATTTATAGGAGGCCAACGCTTTGGCTGTTTGGAACCATCTAGATAGCTGCTGTATGCTGATGCAGCCGGGAACTATTCAAAGAAATGGCACTTGAATTACTGTCTTTGCAAAAGCACTGTGTGGTTACAGCTGAGGTTCAAACTACTACTTTCAGCACTAACGTCTGAAGGTTAATTAATCACGTGGATAAAATCCATACGTTGGATAAATTAGCAAGGCTGCTTTCCTCTAGTTGGGAGGAGGGGGGGGCAGGTGTCAACATCTGCTTTCAGGTGATGCTAATATTCCCGGGTTAACCTTTTGGATTTTTCCTCCAGGTTATTTGGGTCTTTGAAAGCTACTTTACTTAACGGTGTTAGTGGACTGCTATCTACGGTCAGCTACTGAGCCCCTTACTCATTTAGCTTACACCTTGGATGTGGCACAAAGAGTCAAAGGTTAAAGGTCAGATTTTTATACTGACTGCCTCCTTCCTTTTTTTTTTTTTAACCAAACAGCACAAAAGCAGCACAAAGAGAATGTTACAGACAACAAACTTCAGCCCCACTCCACAGCAGAAAAGACTCTGCAGGCCAGGAAGCGGGCCAGATGCTGGCGGTACCTTTGAGACGGACAATTCCTTAGACTTCGACTCGAACAGGTGCTCCAGCTTGGACGTGTCCACCTTGATCGGTTCCAGTTTTGACCAGAGGAATTCTCTGCAGTGCCGGTTGTTCTTACAGGGCCACTCGAAAGGCCGAACCTCATTCCAGAACAGACGGATGGTCTTCTTCTTCTTCGTGAATGCCGGCTGACCCCTGGGTACCTGGGGCCACCCTAAGCCCTGAGGAGCACTGAATACTGGAGGAGGAGCCAATAAATTACCGGGGACGGGAGGGGGAGGCACGCTGTCCAGCAAGGGTGGAGGGGGCGGGGGTGGCAGACCCAGAAAGGTAGGTGGCGGCGGGGGAGGCGGCCCAGGGGCCTCCCCGTGACCCAGGTCCACGTCTAGGACGTCGATGTCGTCCTCCTCTCCCAGGTCGGTGAAGTCCATGTCTTGGATCCTGAGCTCCCTCGGGTTGGCCATGAGCTGGTCCCAGATGTGGTCGGATTCAGTCTTGGGCTGGGGGGACGATTTCTCTGGGACCGTGTCATCGGGTTGGGTGTCGGAGGACACGGGCCCTCTTCCTAGGTCCCCGCTGTTGAATTTCTCCGCGAAGGCTTTCACACTGCCCCGGTTGTCCAGGCAGCCCACGTCCACCCTCCTGACACTCTCGTCCTGCACCAGGGAGCTGGCCTGCAGCGTGGATATCCTGCTGGCCAGGCTGGGCACCGCCTCTGCCCCCTGCTCAGCGCCCGCGGGCTCATCCTCCCCCTTATCCTCGGCATCCGTGGGCTTTCTGTTATGGGCATACAGCATGTCCAGCATGAAGCGTTTGTTGGTGAGGATGTCGCCACACTGTTCATTTACACTGGCATCCTGAACCCCCGCGGACCACAAACCTGAAAGCACACAGGAGAGAGAAAAATGAGACAGGCACAGGGCCATACCATGAAAAAACCAGTTAGGGAATCTGTGGGCTTTCTGTACACAGCCACTCAGAGGAGACAGGGAAACAAGACCCTGAAGAGGAAGGCAGTCATGGCTGACGAAACACCCTCGACCAGATGCAGATGCTGCATCTAATGCCCAGGACCCACGGTGCCTGCAGGTGTGACACTGCCCAGGCTCCTGGGAGACTTTCCCTGACCTCTACTAGTCACCATGACAGCTGGTCAGGACCCAGCCACAGGCAACCAAGGGGCTTCTGTCCTAAGGACACAGGGAGGCAAGGAAGATGGGCCCTCCCCCACAGAGGTGTCAGAGAGGCTGTGGGGTTATTTCCGTTGTTCTCCCTCCTCCACATCACACCAGGGTAGCTCAAATCGCCAAGAGAAATGCACACACCATGCCACTGGTTGCACTTTAAATTCAGGAGGCCCTTAAAGCTGCCTGTCTGTCTAAGACCTCTCCTAGGTGACCTTTCATACCCTCCTCTTTCCTCTACCCCCTTACCTAGCTCATCCTCGCATTGTGGCCCTGCTCCCTAGTTTAACAACTTCACAAAGCCAGAAAAGATCCTCCAGGGCTTTCATTCCGCCTCCACCTGAACATGGTCTAACTTCACCCATCTTAAAACAAGACAAAACACACACAAAAAAGTCCACCAGGTAACTCCACTATCCCTCCTGCTATAATCCAACTTTTCTCTTTTCCTTTAAAGTAAAGATGCTAATGCATCTTTACTTTAAAGGTGTTCTTGTACTCATTGTTGTTTCTGTTGTTGTTGTTGTTGTTTTTCTCACTGTTTCCAGTTTCTCTATTTTCTCTTGAACGAGTCTCAGGAAGTTTTTGCTCCTTCCACCTTTCAAACCTGCTCCTTCCAGGCAACCCCCGACTTGCCTGCTGCACTAGCCCCAGCTGATCCCCTCCTCCCTTACTAAGATTCTTTACTTGCTTCACTTGGCTTCTGGGACATTGCACTCAGCTGGTTTGCTTCCTTTTTTCTGGCTTTCCCTACTCAGTATCCTGTGCTGATTCCTCCTTTATCTTTAACCTTGAAATGTCCTTGGACCACTTCTCTCCATCTATACTCACTCTCTTAGTCACCATCTCATCCAATCTCAGAGCTTTAAATATCACCTTCTGCCCTTGCCCCCATCCTCCTCACGGAACCTGCTTCTCCTGCAATTGTTTCCTGTCTCAGATATGGAAACTTAATCTTTCTGCCAATCCCCCAAATCCCAGAGTCATCCTTGATGCCACTTCTTTTTTTATCCCACACAGCAGGGCATCCTATTAGTTAAATGGTCATGTTATATCCAGAATCCATTTTTTTTTTTTTTTTTTTTTTTTTTTTTTTTTAATCAACTCCCCTGTCACAATCCTGGGCTTAAACTGTATTTATTTATTTATTTATTATTTTTTTTTTGAAATGGGATGTTTCTTTTATTGTTAATAAAATACAATACAAATTCATGTGTAAGAGGTCCATAGGTTAAAGTATTATACTAAATAAAAATGGAAAGACACCAGCATGCCCCTGTCTCATTTTTAGTCCCAGTATACTAAGAACCATTTAAACTCCATATGTGTGCTTTTTTGTTCTTGTTGTTTTTATTTTAAAGAATTTTATTACAGGATGTTAATGTTCAGGACACTTCAGAGCACCTAATACCACTTCTAATCATATTTTTTGGTAACTGGTTTAGAAGTGCTCCTTGAGATTGTTTTCATATTGGTTTTTATTTTTTTATTTTTTTTATTTTTAATATATTTTATTGATTTTTTTTTTGCCTCCTCCCTCCCACACATCCCCTCCCTCCCCAGAGTTTTGTGTCCATTGGTTGTACTTATATGCATGTATAAAAGTCTTTCGGTTGATCTATTATCTCCCCCAGATCTTCCTCCCCTCCCCGCTGTAATTTGACAGTCTACTTGTTGATATACTGTCTCTTTATCTATCTTTTGGTTCATCAGTTTATAATGTTCTTTATCATCCACAAATGAGTGAGGTCATGTGGTGTTTCTCTTTCATTGATTAGCTTAGTATTTCACTCAGCATGATGTTCTCCAATTCCATCCAGGTTGCTTATTTACCTTTCATTCTTAAAGGTTATTTTTGCTGGATATAGAATTCATGGTTGACACATCTGGTTATTTGGAAGCTATTGGGTGAGATGAGAATGGGGGACAGGACAGCCACAGATTTTCCCTTAGTGCATGACTAGGGCAGGAAAAGTATTAATAATAAAAAATATTTTCTGTTAGCCAATCTTTTGGCTAGGAGAATAAACTTTACTTGATGCTTCATTGCCATGTCATTCAAGTCTGAAGGTCCCTAGGTAGTCTAATTTCTTTGCACCTCTCAGTGTCTCCCTATGATTGGTTGTTCGGTTATGCCCAGGATGTTTATAATTTAGTTGTCAGAGGGAGAACCTGGGAGCAATGGAGCTTCTCAATCTTAACCAGATGCCTCCTCATTAATTTATTCATCAATGGTTTTGCAAGCCCCTACTGTGTTCTGGACACCCAACATGAGCTCACAATGAACAAGACAGACATCCCCATTCTCATGAAGCTTACATCAATTAGAGACAAAGAACAGTTACACACAATTACAACAAAGTGTGGTGAATGCTACAATAATGCCCCGCCATACGATAATGCATAGAATGGGAAACACAAAACAAAGGGGAAAAAAACTACACAACCAGAATAAGTTGAACATCTTTCAAGCCTTGCAAGTTCATTTTCAAATAATATCAATAGATGCAATCATTAGAATAAGATTGGAAATCATTTTGATGGTCTTTGTAATTTAGTTGAGAACATTCTGAGAAGCAATAGCTATGCTGAGAGAGCTGTCCTGACTCTACAGCTGCTAATGGTGCCTGAGCAATAGGTTTTTTTTTTAAGAGTCAAAGAGCTATCACATATAAACATGATCACATCTCTTAGCACCAGACTGAAGCAGAAAAGTCACTGCAAATCCCAAACTCCTGAGTGTATAAACTTGGACACTACTAGCTGTTGTTGAAAAAGTCCATGGTCCTTCCCGGGGAGCAGAGACTCCATTTTTAGAAATTGTCCTTATTTGGAAGAATATTGGACAATCTAATCCAAGAAAGTTTTGTTCCCTGACTTATGTTTACTAAGCCAACTCATTGATATGTTTTAGGCCTGCTACATCTAGTTATAAGGAATAACACTGAAAGCTCTTCATAAACATAAAACATTTTAAGGCCAAAATGTGATTGGGAAGACTTTCCCAACACCTTGTACAATGACTATAATTACATTAAATGCGAATACACAAGAAGAATTTGGGAGACTAACTGCAATCTGACTTTGAAAGAAATTAAATAAATAGTAATACATTTAATACAACTTAGCACATAACATCTTCAACTAAACAGACACAAGATTTTCAATGCAATATTTCCTAAGATATAAACCAGAGGTGAGAGGTGGAGAACGTCTGGCCTGTGGGCCATATAAGGCCCATGAAATCATTTAGTCTGGCCCTGCCCAAGCATTTGGGGTGAGTTAATTAAATGTTTGACCAAATATAGTAGCTAATTTTTAAGTTAATAATTTTGTATGGCCCAAGAATGATGTTATAGTATCCAAATGGCCCTTGGTAAAAAAAAAAAAAAAAAAAAAAAAAAAAAAAAAAGGCTTTCCACCCCTAATACAAACTAATAAAGTATTTTTGTCTTCTTTTGACTAACATTGTAGTAAATAAAAATCTATTATAACTGGTGAAAATTCAATTACTAACTATTTTAGACTAAGCTATTGATTGACATGTATCATGGGAAACATTTGGCTCTATTCATTCATTCAATTTTCATTCATTCACCCATGCTTCAGACATAATATATTCTTAATCTGTGAACTAACAAGCCAGGCGTGGGTCATGCCACTGGTTGGCGGGCCATGGTGGAGCTTTCATGCTGCCCTTAGGGCTCCTTGAATATATGTCACTCTAAGCTTGATGAAGGTTGGCTGTAAGACTTGCCTCCACTCTGAGGACTATTAGTTGACAGAGGTGGCTCCCTGCCATCCTGACACCTCTCAAGTCACAGGTAGAAAAACCCCATAGTTTCACATGCAAATAATAATTTAAATGATTGTATAAATTATTTGCAACTTCTACATTCCTCTGTGGCTCCCTCCTCAAGTCCCTACTGAGGACTAACATTACATGTAATCCCTAATCATAAAATCACTATTACATGATGTGTGAGGTAGGCCAGCATCCCAGGACGCCCGCCCTGGGTCCCCTGGAATGTTTATGGAAAAAGGGGCTTGATTACCAGTGCCCCTGTCCCTGGGGAGCTTGTCCTCCTTCTCCTCCCTTTCTAACGTGCTGCTGGAGGATGAGATGCTCGAGGCAGAGCAGTTGTCCCTCTCGTTCACCTCCTCGTTCCGCCTCTCCTTCTCACTGAGGGAGGCTCGCTCTTCCAGCTCCTGCTCCACTTCGCTCTCAGTCCCCACGTGGGCAGGGGCTACTTCCTGGTTGGCCTCATCGGCCACCTGCCCCACCTCCTCCTCTGGTCCTGGTTCTGGTGCAGGATCCTGGGTGCTTGCTGGTGGAGACAACAATGGAGATACAATCACAAGAGGAAGCATCAAGCATGGTGAGAGGATGGATGTGAGCTTGATTTCTCTGTGCTTTCCTGGCAGGCAGAATTCTACAGATGGCCCCCAAGACTCCTGTCCCCTGGCAATTCAACCAAACACATTCTGGGCACTGCTAGGAAGGGACTGTGCAGAAGACATTGACCTTAAAATATGGAGATCATCCAGGCCGGCCGGATCCAATCCTGGAGGCTTTTGAAAGCAGGATGCTTTCTGATTAGCAGTAGAAAGAAAGTCAGAGATATTGGAAGCAGGGAAAGGATTTGACACCACGCTGCAGGCTTTAAAGATGGGGGGTCATGTGACAAGAAATGTGCGTAACCGCTAAAAAGCTGAGAGTGACTCCAGGCCTACAGAAAACAAGGCATAGGGATCTCAGTTTTATAAGCCCAAGAAACTGAATTATGCCAACAACCTGAATAAACCTGGAGGTGGATTCTTCCCAGAGTCTCTCCATAAGAGCCCAGTCAATACAACTTTGATTGTGGCCTTGGGATACCCAAGGCCAAGAACACTGCTGAGTCATGCTGGACTTCTGACCTACGAAAACTGTTGGGTAATAAATGGGTGCCATTTTGAATTGCTATTTTTCAGCTAATTAGTTATGCAGCAAAAGATAACTAATACATGAACCTTCTGCCTCTTCAGGGATAGAGGGGGAAAAAACATCCATTGTGAATCAAGTTGGTAAGCAAGTCGCGGTTCGATGTTTTATCAGTGGCTACACCAATGTCACCCTTTGCTTGATTCATTTGCTCATAATGTAAACTAGTCCATACTTTTGAAAGCTGTGTGAACAATCCCTCTTGGGCACAGACTATTTGTAAATCTCTCAAGTCTGGAAACATGACGCCTGTCCCCAAGATAAATGCCCTGCCCCTGTGTGCCGTCCTCTAGGGAGCAAAGGGTGCCACCAGAGAGGGGCTTTGTTTGCGCGCTTTTGCTGAGCAAACTCTCTCCTGTGGGCTATGGATAAGAAACAAAATGATTGAGAATTCAAAAAAAATTCTGAGCCAACTGCCACATACGAGGGCCAGAAGACTCGGACTGGCAACCCCTGAGCATCTTTGACCAGTGAGGGCACAGCCATATTGAAGGAATCTGACATTGTGCCCCAAAAGTGTGAGCTCAAGCCCTAGGCAAACACAAATTCACATAGGATCTGCCCAGGGTAGGAACTGTGAGAGACCTTGCCAGACACCATAAGAACAAGCAGACCAGGGAGCTCTCTCCACGTGGGGGTATCCTGCCAGCTCAGGTGAGCAGGGATGGCTGGCAGTGGGGTGTGCACAGTGTTTCTCTCCCCCCCCCCCCAATAGGCCAGGCAGTGGCATTACCATGGGTGAGGAAAGCTCAGCATCCCAGCAAGAACTCATACCATCAGGAGTCACTGGGCCCGCAGCCCTATCCCTCGTCTGCTCTCAGCCTGCCTTTCTCTAGGAATGCTTCAGGGAACTTGGGAAGGAAGCAGGCAGTGGGGAGGATGAGAGGCCTGGGTAACTTCCAACCTCCACAGGAAGAAATACTCTTCGGTGGGAACCCCCTGCCCAGTGCCCTTCAGGTAAAAACTGGGTGTAGAGGATGGAGGGCCTCTCCTTTCTGCCTGCCCGTAGGTTGGTGACACATTATACACCTTCTACTGGGGATCCCAGCTTAATACAGGAGCCTCTTCCCTGGGAGACTGCAGGGAGGGAGGCCTGACAGCAAAGGCCCCTGCCCTCCACTGGCCGTCCCTGCTGCGTGTCTCCAAGAGGGATGGTTATAGGAACTGGTGATAAGAGGGCAACGTTTCTGGGTAAAGGTGCACTGACTGGCAGTAGCAGGAGGAAACCACAGGGCATGACCGTGAACATGAACCTACATGCTCATGAGTGGGCATGTCAGGCACTTTTCCTTAAAAGCCAAACCTGGGCTGGTCCAGGGAAAGAGTGAACCCGTCCTTGAGAAACATTCCCTTTGGTGTTGAAGGAACTGTAATGGTGACTTCTCTTCATCTGATAACAGAGTACTTAACAAAGAGATACAAAACCCTCTCTCTTTCACAAACATGGCGAAAGCAGGGTTTCAGCAACAGCGGTGTCATCATTTGGTTGACAGAAAGCATCTGTTCTTGCGCACATTAACTTCAGAATAGCCACATCAAAACGAAAATGTGTTTCCAACAGCCTTGCATGTGGCATGCATTTGAGTTGTAATTGGGGAGCATATGGCGCAAACTGGCGAGGGTGTCTCCGGGTGGTTTCGTTATTGACAGGGAGACGGGGCGCAGTTGGTTGCCATAAGTCTGTGTCTACTCATCCTCCCCGGGAGATGGGCAAAGTGGGAAGGATCCAGGACTTGATGGTTGTTTGACTCTAGCCTACATGCACCCTATCGTCATTTCCTTCTCTAAGCAGAGACTCTGGCCTTTGATTAGCCAACCAGGAGCTGCCGGGATAGGTGTGGAAATGAGCATGCAAGCTCTAGGGAGCCACACACCCTTGGGAATAAACAGTGCAATTGCATCCCCCAACTTTAGGGCCTCGCTTCAAAGATGGAGTCAGACGTTTAAATGTGTGATCCACTGGGATAGTTTCTTTTTCATTAGCTGGGGAGCTAGTCATCTCTGAAACTGATCAAGCGCAGACTCAGTGTCTATCAGGTCTGACCACAAACCTGTGGTATCTGAGGTTGTCCTACTGATGAACAAATTTAATACTATTCACACAGACTCAAGTCAAGCAAAACCACCAAAGATGGAGAGAGTGAAGGCAGAGAGCAAACACATAGCTGCTCATTCCCAACGATCTCTGTACTCATAAATCCGGCAACATCTGTGGCATTGACATAACACCAGCCTTGTTTTCCGAGGGCTCCCCATGTAGCTAAAACCCATCAGTAAGTCACAGTGGTATGTGGCCAGGCACCTACGTGAGTTCACTGTGTGACAAGTGACAGGAGTCCCTGAAAGGAGCAGCCAAGGTCCTCAGCTATATTGATCGGACACAGGAACAAGGGCAGAAGGTCCCTGAGGACCAAGACCACGCCTGCCTCTTAAGTCCAAATGCTTCCAGCGAGGTCCTGAGCCAGCACCTGCTCACAAAGTTCTTTCTCGGTGATACTCAGGAAGCACCCCGAGAGTACCCATGAAATTCCAGATTTCTGCCCCCCTTTCACATTATCTTTCACCAGGGCCTCCCTCGTCAACACCCCCTTTCACACCATCATTGCCTTTAAGTCATTGCCCCACACCAGGCTGGCTGCTCTCTGGGCAGACACAGGGAATAGTACCATCTACACTCGCAGAGTCCCCAATAAATAGAAGAACCAAGCCTGCAGGAAAAGTCCAAAAGACAGCTAAGGTATTTGCCAACACCCAGGGTGAAAACTGCTCACAACTTCCCACCCTTGCTGGTCCCAGTATTTATGAGCCTTTCTCTGGCCAGCAGTGGTGCTGGTGGTGAGAGAGACAGTGATGCAAGACAGACCTGGCTCTTGTGGAGGTTATAGAGGAGCCAGGGATCCTACCCTGCCTGCCTGGCCTCTGTCCAGCAAAGGTGGGCCAACCTTGCTACAGATGGACCCAGGGAAAATTCAGCCCTCGGCTCCCTCTAGACACAACTAAAAGTATTCATCCGAGTGGCCAGTATGGCTCAGTGGTTGAGTGTCAACCTAAGAACCAGGAGGGCATGGTTCCATTCTCCTTCAGGGCATATGCCAGGGCTGCGTGCTCGATCCCCAGTAGGGGGCGTGCAGGAGGCAGCCGATTAATGATTTTCTTTCATCACGATGTTTCTCTCTCTTTCTCCCTCTCTTCCCTCTGAAATCAATAAAAATATTTTTAAAATATTTATCAATGTTACAGCTGTTGTAAGAGCAAAAGCATGATGCCCTGGAGGGTATGGTCAGGGTCTTTGGGGTGGGATATGTGCATCTGAGCTAAAATGGCATTTAAGCAGAGTCTCCAAAGATGACAAAAAGTTAAAAGGGAAAATGTAGACATGAGAACGTCTGGGCAGAAGGAGGAGCATGTGCAGAGGCTCAGAGCACAGGGTGTGCTGCAGGAATGAAAGAGGCCAGCATCGGGGGCCAGGGCCACGGTAAGAGGTGAAGGCCTGGAACTTCACTCTCAGGGCCATGATGGCTGCTCAAGGGGAGACAGGCGGTGCTTCAGCTTGTCTGAGAGAAGCCCCCGATTACAACTGCATCGCAATCAAACCACACTTCCCGCTGGGACAGTTCAGGCATGCCTGCTGTTGCGAGGGAGGCGCCTAGTCTGTATGGAGCAAACTGACAGGAGGCAAATCCTGCAGACCAGGATGTGGAGGCGGAGGTTTGGAAATAAAAGGAGGACATGGCAAAAAGTGCCTGGCAGCATGCAAGGTGTCCAAACCTGGGATCTGTCCTTCTGGACCACATCCAGAGAGAGCAGGCTGGGGGTGGGGGGGGGGGGGGCTTGGCATTTCAGGGGCGCTTAGCCAAGGCCAGAAGAATGCATTAGGCCGGGGCCTGCACTGACCTGATGGAGAGGGCTTCCAACTAAATTTTAAGGCTGGGGTGGGGGAGTGTAAGGAAGAAGAAAGAAGTCAAAATTCAACTGTATGAAGGAATACGGAAATGGGTCATTTAGGTAACGTGGAAGGAAGATGTGTATGGTATATTTAAAAGGAAGTAACCAGGAACCTGGTTGTTGCCATTCTGGAGGAAGGACCCATGACCTGAGCATGGTCACTCATGGGAATTCTTTATCCAAAGGAAATAGACTTACAGGAGACAGAGGTTGGGGAGCCAGGATGGGACTATCGATACAAGAACCCCAGGAAAAGAGGGAACATTTTTTTTTTTTTTTTTATTGAGGAAACATAAGAGGGTGGCCCGTCAGGTGACTGGTATTCCTTTCATGCAGATCACAAAGGTGGGAGAGCAATGAGGACAGCACAGGCCTTGAGGATTTCGACCACTCAGACCT